AGGCCTGTTACCTACTATTCTTCTCCTTCAGGTTATTTCTTTTCCTTTACCTCACTGTTTCCTTACCCTTGTCCTGGTTCCTGGAGTTATGCCAGACTTATTTTTAATTAAAAAATTTCTGCTTAAGGAAGAGGCAGGTAATATGCCCTTTCACAGCACATGGAACAGAATAAGCAGATAAACAACTGACCAAAGATTACTGGACAATACTTAAATAGTGTGATTAAATGCTAATATCCTGGTTCATAGCCCAATACAATGCTCAGTGGACCATACTGATCTACATTTCTTATAAAGAGCAGCATTTAAGTGTTGGGGATTTAGCATAGTAGTATAGTGCTTGCCAAAAAGTAAAAATTCAACACAACACACACACACACACCAAGAAAAGCCTTTATTGAGCCAAGAAACTTAGGTAAACTTTCTCAGCTCATCTAGATAAAGACTCTTTATTCACCAGCACAAGACAATTAAGACTGTGTGCCAGGAAGGGCCAAGAAAGGTAGCACACAGCTGACCAGCTTTTTGCAAGACCGATAGTCTTAACATTCAGAATGGAAACACATTGGAGGGAGTTGTTTCAAAGTTCTTTTAAGCTTTTTAAAATTACATTTATTTATTTTGTATGTGTCTATGTGTGTTCATGGACATGTGTCATGGAGAGCATGTGGAGATCAGTGAACAACTTTTGGGAGTTAGTTTTCTTCTCCCAACATGTGGGTCCTGCGGAGCCTTTTCCCTGGCTTGCTTATCTATCTATCTAATCTATCTATCTGTCTGTCTGTCTGTCTGTCTGTCTGTCTATCTATCTATCTATCATCATCTATCTATCTTCTATCTATCATCTATCTATTATTTTTAAAAATAATTATAAAATATTTTATTTATTATTTTTATTTTATGTATATGAGTATATTGACTGCATGTGTGTAAGTGTACCCTTGTAATGCAATATTTATTTATTTTAAAGACATTCTTGCCATGTAGCCAGACTGGCTTCAAACCTGAGATCCTTCTACCTCAGCCTCTTGAGAACACAGATTACAGGCACCACACCCAGCTGGAAGGATTTTAAATAATCTTATTTAAACAGTCTGTGTTGATTCAGACAGTCAAGTCCCCTCAAGGTAAGTGACCCTCCTAACTCAGTCCTCTCAGCCTCCACTGGCTCTGTTGGATACACATATAGACGGAATGAAAGCAGAAACGAGCACCTGTGGTAACAAGTAGATTTCATTGAAATCTTCCATTCTCCTCTATAGATAAAAGATAAAGACTGAAAAGCTACTGTAGGAAGAATCCATTATCCGATCTAACAGACTGGTACATGTATCCAAGCATTTAATGCTGTCCAAAGAAGCAGGCATATACTGCAAAGCACATACATAAAAAGCTAAGAATAATTTATTTCCTTTGGGCACCGTATGATGGCACACACCTGCCATTCCAGCACTTGGGTGGCTGAAGCAGAAGGATCACAAGCTTGAGATGAGCCTGGGCTACACAGTGAGACTGTCTCAAAAGGAGAAAAAAAGAATTTCATTACAGCTGATCAAGGCCTTACTGGATGACTATTGGGAAGTTCTTTCCTGTTCTTCTACAGGTCCTTGCACATGCTGAGCAAGTGCTCTGCCACTGAATAAAGGTAGGGCCTCCAGCCCTACCTTTTCCTTCATTACTTCAACTTTTCATTCTTTGCTAAACCACCTCCCTCTCCCATTAAGGAAACGGTCTTCTTTTGTTAGTAACTAAAGCTTACAAAAATGGTGCTTGTAGCAGAGTTGGTCTCAATTTCACTATCGGACAAAGTGCCCCGAGACCCTGCCAAGTGGGCACTGCCTTCGCCTCCTGGCCCATCACCGGCATTGCTGCTCAGATCGCTGTCTGCTCCAAGGGTCTCTCCAGAACTATTACTTACCTAGAAAGGACAAAAAGGTAGTAAGGGATATTCTCTAGAGAAGGACCCCTCCCCCCAAAGTCACAGTTAAAACTCTCTTCTACTATAAATAAAAGTATCAAATTTTACAGGTGTGTCAGACAGCTTCTTCAAGTACCTTCTTTATAAGATGGGTGAAATTCTGTGTACACACACACCTATAACAGTCCCATATCTCCACCATGAGAACCAATCTGATCTGAGACTAAGAACAGCCTCCTAAGAAGAAGGAGCCCCATTTTCAAAGAGAAATCCACACCCCCACCACAAAGATGCCAGTGTGGTGTTCCCCTACCACGGTGCTAACTTCAGAATCCTGACTTGAACTTCGGATCATAACAGCTGGACTCACACTGATGACAGAGTCTTGATCAGTTCTCTGAAATAAGACAAAGGCACACTGATTTCATTCCTAGAGAAGTCCTGAGCAATTTAGTTTTCTTCCTAGATATAATGTATGTAACTTACAAAATTAAAATGGGATAGCATGTTAAAGAATGACAAGTTCACTGTAGAAAACAAAATAAGAATAAACCATAAATCTACCATCTACATAAACCACTGCTTTTAGCATATTTCCTTTTAGTCTTCTCTAGACATGTTTAAAACATAAAAGCTTCATAATTATAATTATATAGCTTCATAATTATTTCCTTATGTCATTAATTTTTTGAAAATATCTTTTTTGTTTGTTTTATAGGGTTTTTTTTGTTTTTTTGAGACAGGGTCTCACTGTGTAGCCCTGGTTGGCCTAGAACTCACTGTGTAGCCCTGGCTGACCTGGAACTCACTATGTAGATCAGGCTGGCTTCAAATTCACAGAGATCCACCTACCTCTACCTCCTAAGTGCTGGGATTAAAGGCATGTGCCACCATACTCAACTGAAAACACAATCTTAGTCGATACATTTTAACATAGATATATATATTTTTTTTAATTTTTATTTATTTTTTATCTATGTATATGTATGTGTGCCTGGGTGAGTTCATGTGCACTACGTGCATGCCGATGCCCTTGAAAGCCAGAGGGCATCAGATCCCCTGGAACTGGCATTCCTCTCTCCAGCCCCAAAGCCCTAGGTTTAAAAAAAAAAAGTAGGGCTGGAGAGATGGCTCAGCGGTTAAGAACACTGACTGTTCTTGCAGAAGACCCAGGTTCAAATCCCAGCACCCACATGGCAGCTAACAACTGTCCATAACTCCAGTCCCAGGGGATCTGACAGCCTCTTCTGTCCTCTGCGGGCATTGCATAACACGGATGAACTTACCTACATGCAGGCACTACACGCATAAACATAAAATAAGAAAATAAAAAAATAGCCAGGCATGGTGGCGTACACCTGTAGTCCCAGCACTTGGAAGGCAGAGGCAGGCGGATCTCTGTGAGTTCAAGGCCAGCCTGGTCTACATAATGAGTTCCAGGACAGCTCAGGCTACAGGGAGATCCTGTTTCAAAAAACACCAAAAAATAAAAAATAAAAAATAAATTTTTTTTTAAAAGAAAGTAAATAGTAAATTTTGAGATAGTAAATTTAGTCCTGACAATTTTCAACAAGTTGTCACAAACCTGGGAAGCCGAAGTCAGGCTCACACCACTGTCTGCGCTGATCTGGGACTTTTTCTCCTCTGTCTCACCAAGGTCAAAGGCAGGCTTGATTACTTCTGGCCCTGAGTAGGGGAAGAATTCTGTTACTCAGCACACAGAAGCTTGGGGCAGGCTGGTGAAGGGAATGGGATAGCAGCACAGCCTGGCCCCAGACCTGTTCAGAACATCCTAGTCACCTTCCCAGAGACTGCCCCTCTTCACCACTGGCACCCACTAGAAGAGGTCCCAGAAGCCAAGTAGTATAAATGAGACCTGGCCTCAAGGGATCTGCATCCATCTTCTCGACCTGAGAAAATCCAGCCCAAACTACCCTAAAACAAAAATTTCATACACAAACATCTAAACCCCATTCCATGGCACCCAGAGTCAGAGTTCCACCTGTACCTGAGACCATTTAAATGTTCCCAGGTCACTCAGTGATTCCTGACAAAGGAGTCCAAAGAGGCCAGAAAAGTTTAGGCCGAAAGAGAGAAACACCATTTCAGTGTGTACTGCCTAACCCCCACCCTTACACAATCTACATTTGAGAAAAACAGCACCGCTGTTTAACCCAGTCACAACAATGGTATGGTGGAAGGACAGAATGACAGATAGCAAGAAAGTGTGCCTAGGCAAGCCACTAGAGAGAGTTGGGCAGCTACAGACTCAACATGGAGGGAGAGCAACCATCTCTGCCAACTGTGCCCACAGGCCTCCTAACGGTGGGGGAGATATCAGGCAATGAAGGGCACTGCAATCGGCAAAGTTTCTCCCCGCCAGCTCTACAGCAATCAAACACCAAGGTCTAAGAGGTATTTTACTCAGTAGATACCATGATTACTAATGAAGGGAGGGGCAAGGAACAGCCTACAAGCCATACACCTAACAGTCACACACCACCTTCCTGCTTTCAATCCAAATACCCCCCAAGAACCCTCTGTCCTGTCTTTGCAACTCTTCCTCCAAATACCCCAAAGAACAAATTTGGGGTGGGGCTAACAAAGGAAGCCTGCCCCAACTGGGCCTGGGAAGTTGGCAGGTATGGGAGACTTAGGGACAGGAAGGGGCATTTGTTCCTTACTCTGTTTTTCCAAAGCTTTTTGCTTTTTCACTTCCTGGTGCTTGTTCCACAATTCTACCCCAGATGCAATGCAAGCAGGAGAGAAAGACAGAGAGAGTCAGAGGCTGGTCAGACTAAACAGAAACCCACCCACCCATTTATTCAGTTTCAGGCACAGTATTACCAGTCAAGAGATACAAAGATATCTTTATTTGGGTAGGGGTGAGGAATCAAAAGATCCAATTCTTATCCCCAAAATCATGATTGAAAGATTCCAAATTTCTAACCCTATCCCAGTGTAGCAGTAAAGGCTCTGCAGAGTGTTCAAGCTGAAAGGGCTCTTCATAAAGCTTCTTTATTTTGTATGAGGAAACTGATCCTAAACAGGTGGAGCATATGCTCAAGGGTGTATAACTTAGGTCAGTTGACTCAAACCACAGCACTCTCTCTCAGCCAAATGAGCTGAGGAATGGCCATTCTTATAAGTTACAGATAAAAGGGAGGATGGTGTCAAGTAGTCAAAGGGTTTCAGAAGCATGAGTGTAGTCTGAGTCACTGGATTGGACAGAGGGCAACTTGTGTAGTTGGTTAGCATCGCTCCTTCTGCTACTCAAAAAGACCAACTCCCCCTCGGAACTATTACCTACCCTACCAGGAGATCCATTTTTAACCAACTGTCTAGGAAAAATGCTTCTAGTAGAAGTAAGAGAACATAAAATGGTCAAGACCAGCTTCTCAGGAGAACAAAGCATAGAGAATACCAACCATAGCAATTTTTATTTCTTGAAGGAACTTCAGCATTTATTTAGTATAATCTCTTCATTTCTTAGATGAAGAGACAGAGATTCTGAGAGGGAAGTGGCCAAGTAAATTCAGGACTTCTAAGCCAACCGGTCAATGTTTTTTCTAGAACATCACATCAGGCAGGAGAAAGCCAGGCTCTAAGAGGATAATAGCTAACTAGAACTGGAGCACCCCTAAAAAGAAGTTGGTTTCTATGAGAACTAAAGACAACTGCTAATGGTTGTGGCAAAGAGGCATCAGCCGAAAGCACAGTGCCCAGGGACCTAGAACCAGAAAAAGAAAGGGGCCCGGACTCAAGGTCAAGTAGGAGTGAGCCAACAGACACCAGAGAGTGAGTATAGAGACACCGAACATAAGCAAGTTTTTAATTGCATCCATGGTGGAAGGACTGAAAGAAGAGCTGACTCAGATCTATACTTCTGAGGTCTAGAAACCAAACGTAACAGAAAGGAGCACATTCCAGAGCAGTGTGAGGCCTGGATGGGGGAACCAGAAGCAGAGACACAGATGATCATATCTTACAGTCCAAAGATGTGTCTACAAACTTCCTTATAGTCTCCAGGAACTCACACGGCCTCTAAGTGAAGAAATTCTGACGTAAATTTAAAAAAGTGACCAGGAGTATGGCTCAGACTCCCTGTACTAAGTCCTATGGGTCTATAAACAAATCCATTCTTCCTTTAAGATGCTGGTGGGATAGCTATAGATGGATCAGAAGGACTAAAGAAGTACAAGAAAATGCCATTGGAACTGGACATAGACCTACCTTCCTCTCTAGAAAACAAAGCATGGGGAGGAGAGAGGCAGGATTCAGGATGAATTGAGAGGAAGGAGGGATAGTTAAGAACCAGACCCCTCCAGTACTTCAAACACAATGATACATACCAACAGATGCTATAAAATTTTCTTCCTTTAAACTTCTGGTGTCCAGCTCCTTAGGACCCTTTCCTGTAGCACTTGGTGCCCGAGGACCCAGCTGAGGGACTCTTAGCTGTGCCATAGCCTTTGGGTCCCCTCGCCCAGCCAGACCAGGATCCTTGCCAACTGGGGTATTTACATTCTCTGTTGGACTTCTCTTCCGCTTGTCTGGTTCTAAGGAAAAGAACAAATACAGAAAGAGGTCAGAAGAGGTAGTGAATGGGAATCAAGGCAGGGAAATGAAAGCCAGAATACAGGAGGATGTGGAACAGGCTTAGAACAAGAAAAGAAAAGCCAAGGTCTTATTTTTCATGATAGAAAAATATTCCGTACATATAAACATGCACCAGAAGATAAAAATGCCAAAGTGTGATAGGACGCAGAGTGGTACTTGGAAACTTGACATGGGGACAGGAAGTATGGGCCCTACCTTTACTGTAGTAGTGTGTCTGGGCAATCTCCAGAAGCCCAAAGATGCTGGCCATGCCACCCAGACCTGCATGGGCATAGGACTGCTCCAGGCTGAGGACTGTGCACTTGAGGAGGTCTAGCATTCCTTTGTATACTTTTCGACTGATCTCCTGCAGCAATAACCAGGGTCTAGAGCTGACAAATTTTCTTTGACATTCACATCATTCTGCCCAGTTGATTCTGACTCCCTAGCCCAATACTTACCACGTCTGGGATGACATCCTGCCGGGCCTCATCCTCTGACTGCACCACGCGGTTCAGCTTGCTTATGACAAAGACTCGCAGTTGCTCGCTCTCCAATAGTCGGCGTACCTTTTTCATGTTGAGCCAGCCCACTCCCTGGCCATCCAGCACACTGTGTACCACCTCTTTCAGGAACTGCTGGTTCTCACTAAAGAGTCCACACATCACATCTGTGGTCATTTGCTCCTTGGCAGAGCATCCCCACTTTCACTGGGTAAGATGTTTGATCCAGGGGCAAAATATAAAGCTAAGTCTCCAAATGCCCATGGTCACCACTTCCCCCAACTCTCTAAGTATCTGGTTTCCCAAGTCCCCATATTCTGGAGTTTCATCTTTCTCAACACCATAAATCACTACTGTTGCTTGGGGATTGATTAAAAATGAGAAATGAAGCTGGGCGTGGTGGTGCATGCCTGTAGTCCCAGGACTTGGGAAGCAGAGGCAGGCAGATCTCTGTGAGTTCAAGGCCAGCCTGGTCTACATAGTGAGTTCCTGGCCAGCTGGGGCTACAGGGAGACCCTGTCTCAAAAAGAAAAAAAAAGCTGCTCTCTTGCTGGGCATGATAGTGAACGCCTTTAATCTCAGTACTCAGGAGGTCTGAGTTCAAAAAAAACAAAACAAAAACAAACCAAACCAAAACTGCTCTCCCACTTTTGAGCACCCTTCAAATTTTATAAGGAATTACTACTTCTACCTGAGAATTTTTAAAGCTTTTCTGCCAGTTGGGCATGGTGATATACACCTGTAATCCAAAGACTTGGGAGCTGGAGCTGGATGATCAATTCCAGGCCATTTTCAGCTACATATTGGGTTCAAGGCCAGCTTGGTAGGTACATGAAACTCTGTCTCAAAAAACAAAACCATTCTGCCATTTATTACCTAGAATTGCTGGACCGGCCCTGGGGTGATGGAGGTTCTCTTTTCACTGTCGGGCTGTGTTTAATCACAGATGACTTCTGGTCCACTAAGGCCCTCCTGTTTCCTATAGCAGGGAAGGTAGGAATGAGAGACATCATTGGCAAGTCCAGGGGCTCACAACAGCACAGCCCTGGGTTGTCAGGTTCTACACCCATTCCTCAGCAGGGCTGGGCAGGGGTGGCACCCGAGCATAATACACAGGTAGAAAGCAGCTATGGCAATGTGGAGGAGGTAGGGATGGAGACTCAGGCCACTCCACATGCACCAGCAGCACACCCCATGGGTAGCATGGGTGTTTCGGGGGGGACAGGCAAGGCAGGTCACTCATGTGACATCACTTGCTCCATGAGGAGGATGGCCCTCAGGCAGGCATAGAAGATGCTAGGAAAAAAAAAAGATCATGCACAGCTCATGGGGAAGACCCACCTTCACCACTCCCGGGGCCGGCTTCAGTAACAATCTCCATTAGAGTATTTAGCCCAAATACTGGGACACAAAATACATAATTAGTAGGTGCACCACAATTACTTCAACCCCTGTAACCCTTGATGGAGCAGTAAGTCAGATCATCTGAGCATTCTCTCAAAGCCTGAAAAGTGCACATAACCTTGGTTCTTGGGCACATCAGAGCTGGAAGCCAAGTGACCAGGAGACAACCAAGGCTCTATGAGAGCCCATCCTTAAGCCTGGGGCAAGGTAAATGACACAGGGAGCCTTCAGATACTAAACAGGCACATGCATGAAAGAGGGAACACTAGTTTTCATGAAACATCTAGCACAGGAATCTGGAGGGCCTGTGGGAATCCACAGGGAAGAGACATTTTGCAGATGCTGTCATAGGAAGTAGAGCGGGGCATGGGTAAATGGATAAGTGCAGCACATGAGAAGAAGCAACAGCATGCAATGAAGGAATTCCCAGGACTCTGCCCCTCAAATGTACCAAAGAAAAGCCAGAGACACTAACACCTTTCCATCCAGAATCTACCCAGCCACGTGCAGATTCACTGAAGCAATACTAGTCTGTATTACTACTCTGAAGTCCTTTTACCCACTTGTGCCCACCCCACTAAAGAACATTCCTTAGGCTTCTGCCATTTCTAGCTGGATGTTGTGGCATATGAGTGCAATCTTATGGGGTGCTCAGGCAGTACTTCAAGTTTGAGGGGCTCCATATAAGGATGACCCTGTTTTAAACAACAACAATAAAAACAGTGCTCCTCACTGTACTTCCTACTATAATTAAATATCTCAGTACAGTATCCAAGACAACAAAAAAACATCAAATTAACTTGAGAATAACCCTTCACACTACAAAGATCACAAGCAAAATTGAAATAAGGTCTGAACAGACCCTAGAAGTCAATCGATATCACTTATAGACCAAAAGTTGACACGAAGCCACAGGAAATGGCTGGATTCTATACAGTGCCAGGCTCCCCAAAACCATCTTCCTGTGAGCCAGCTCCTTGGGAAGGAGTTTATCCTAAGTTCATACAGTGACTGAGGGCAGCTGATGATCTATGTAATAGTATGGACCTCTAACAAGGTTCCCCCAAAAGCAGTAGTGATCCCACTCTGCCATTACCCTAACTGATACAACAGGATTTTCCTGTTATACAAAGGCGATTTCCATCTACAACCACCTAGAGCCTATGGTGTGCAGCGAAAGTCATGAGAACCAACACGAGGCAACAGCCAGTCAAACGATTCATGGTACACAGGGCTTCTGACAAGCACCTATATGCCTGACATATGTCCCAGAGAAACCTAGTTTGACAAAAAGAAAGGCTGTAGTTACCTTTCAGGCTGGGGAATGGTGTAGTCTTCTCTCGGGCACCTTTGGTGGGCAGGGTGAGGTTGGAAAGACTGAAGCTTGTACTGTGGTTCCGATATAAGCTGCCTATAAAGGGGAGGTATAGGAGCCATGAGTTACTAGGACAAACATTCACAGCATTCTAGTCCAGTGCTGTAGCATTATCTTCATCTCTCTCCTTTCAAACAGCATCCCAATGTGCTGGCTCAGATCATCTCTGCTCTATCTTAGAAAAGATCTAATGTAACTTAAGGTAAACACAGGAGCCATTGCCAACTCTGCTCAAAACCAGTAATAACATTCTCTGGCTACCTCCCATGATAATATTGAAGTCTCATCTATGGCTAACAGCAAGAAAGCTGGTAGTGCATATACCTCTGGTCTGAAGTGGGTGCTGCTCTTACCTGGTTTCTGAAAGCACAATCACAATAGCAATTATCCTTTATTGTGGCTTTCTTTAGGCCCTCGTCAATCTACAGTCTTTAAATGATACCACCCTCAGTGCTGGAAATATTCTCTAAGCATAAAAATCAATCACATACATATTTTGAACATGTTAATCAAAGTTCCTTACCAAGGAAAGCTATATCAGATTCAAAGCAAATCTGATCAAATAGTTCAACAAAGTATTTATAAAACTGCATGATTTTATAATTTAATGCTTAATTTTCAGTGGGCCTTTCAGCTATCTTGCCTGAAACACACTAAATCTCCAGTAATACAAAAATAATGAGTGGACGAGAGAGATGCCTCAGCAGGTAAAGGCACCTGCTACCAAGCCGACAAACTGAGTTTGATCCCTAGGACCCACATGGTGGAAAGAGAGAACCAACTCTTGCAAGTTGTCCTCTGACCTCCACATGCATACTATGGTCTATGAGTGCACTCATGTGAACATGTATACACACATGCAAAATAAATTTAGGACTAATGCCAACCTAGCCCTCTATCTCAAGTTCTAAGCAACATGTGCCACAGTCAAGACCTACTACGGAGGAAAATGGAGCAGAGGAATGAGAGAGCTTAAGATACTTACTAGCAAAGGACATGATGCCCCCGAAGCCCTCGGTGCTGTTGTTGGAGACAGTGGAGTTGGGAGAGCTTGCTCGAGAGTCTGACTCTGCATCTGAGTCACTTGCCAGTTTCAAGCTGTTGGGCCGCAGCAGCTTTTGAGCCCTTGAATGCACAGTGGCACCTATGAGCCCCAGGCAGGGATATCTAATCTTGGGAGTGGGCCTTATGCTACCCTGTTGTTGCTGCTTTTGTCCCATAATTCCTAAGCCCCCTTTTCAAAGCACTACCCTCTGGGGATGGCAAAACAGCAAAAGTACTCAAGACATTCTGATTAACCCCAGCCCAGGTCACCATAGTAAGGTTCTTCAGTCACCCATCTAGAAGGGGTCCCCAGGCTCTTACCGATTGCCATTGACATGTTGGTTGAATCGGGGAGTGTAGCTTTCCCCCTCCTCCTCCTCATCTTCCTCAGGGGGAAAGCCATATTGGGGCTCGAAGTATGGATTGTCATAGGTTTGCTGGCGCACTGACCCCTCTCCAATCTCTGTCTGTCTTCTGTCCACAGTAGATTTACCGATGCTGGAAGGCACAGGAGGGAGGGGCTGGGAGGCACCAGTGGCTGCTTTATCATCCATCTCTGTAGAATCAGCAGGTTCCTAAGGGCCACATTAAATAAAAGCAGTCACCCAGTACCCAGTGATGCTTTCCCAGAGTTTCAGTTTGGTAGGGCAGGCCAGACCTGTCAGATTCCTAGCCTATGAACTGTGTGGGAAAGGAACTCCAGTATTCCTGATCTCTAGCCTTACAAACTATGTAAGTGGATCACAGCTACACCATAAAGGAGACCCAATGGTCCCCTTTCTGGGGTCAAAACTATATCTCAGAGGCTTTTAGCCAGAGTGTTTATAAAGAGGAAGATGGAAAGAACATGAGCAAGAGGCAAATTAATAGCTACAGCATGGCTTTCCCAGGAGACAGAGGCCCACATCCCAAGCAGAGGCTTTTACCATCCACCCCCTAAGTCCTCACGTACAGAATTGGCACCATGGATAATAGTGCTGGGGCTGCTGCTTGCAGTGGTGCTAGAGCTAGAGCGCAGTGGAGGGTTTTCCTGAGAGTTCTCACTGTCTGGGCCAGGCTCCTCTGCTTCCTTCTGGTTCTGCAGCTCATCGATCTCCACTTCGCTGGCATCTCCCAGTGCCGCATGTGTCAGAGGGTCTACATCTGCCAAAGGCGACAGTACAGGCCTCCTCATCCCCAAACCCCAAACTCTGCCTGGCACCAGTCAAGCTTTCCAAGTAGACTTACTGGGAGTGTCACCATTGATGTCACACTTCATCATTTCACTGACAAAGTCACCAAGGGAGGAGTAGGAAGAGCTTGAGTCATCATATTCCATACTATCACTGCCACTGTAAAGTAAAGAGTGAAAAAGAAGTGTCAGCTAGATGGCTGTCAGATGCTGTCAGGCCTGATGACCCAAGTTAAATTTCTAGAACTCACATGGTAGAAAGTGAGAACTGATTCCCTCAAGTTTTCCTCTGACCTCCACACATGCACTGTACACTTGTGTAGCCACACACATACACATCCACACATAGTAAATTGTTTTTAAATTTTTTTAAAAAAAGAAGAGAAGCTTGAGATGCAGCTCTGTTAGCAGAGTGCTTGCCTAACATGCACAAGTCTTGCTTTGGGTTCAGTTCCCAGCACTACAAAACCAGGTATGAGAGTGCATGCCTGTACCCCCAGAACTTGGGAAGTAGAGGCAAGAAGATCAGAAGTTCAAGGTTAAGTACTGGAAAGAAGGCTCCATCATTAAGAGCACTAGCTGATCTTGCAGAGGACCCAAATTCAGTTCCCAGCACTCACATGGTGGTTCACAGTCTGCTTTAATTCCAGTTCCAAGGGATATGATGCTCCCTTTTGGCCTTCAAGGCACCAGGCAAGCCCTAGGTACACACACATACATGCAGGCGAAACACTCATACACATAAAATAAAAATAACTTTTTAAGCCAGGCATGGTGGCGCATGCCTTTAACCCCAGGGCTTGGGAGGCAGAGGCAGGCAGATCTCTGTGAGTTCAAGGCCAGCCTAGTCTACATAGTGAGTTCCAGGCCAGTTGGGGCTACAGGGAGACCTTGTTTCAAAAAAATAAAAGCACCAGCACTCCTGTCTCAAAAAAAAAAACAAATCAACAATGGCTGGAGAGATGATTCAGCAATTAAAAAAGCCAATACTGCTGGCTGGAGTTCAGTTCCTAGCACCCATGTCAGGTGGCTCACAACCATCTGTAACTCCAGCTTCAGGGGAATCCAACACTTTTGGCTTCCTTGGACACACACATGCACATACACACATATACACAATTAATAATAAGGGCTGGGGGTGTTGCTGCACTCTTTTAATTCCAGCACTTGGGTGGCAGAGGCAGGAGGATCTCTGTGAGTTCGGGGACAGCCTGGTCGGCCTGGTCTACACAGTGAGTTCCAGGCCAGCCATTGGGGCTACAGGGAGAAAAAAAAAAAAAAAAAAAAAAAAAAAAAAAAAAGGAAAGGAAAGAAGAGAGAGGTAGGAGGGGAGAGAGTTGGGGTGGCTATGATCAAGACATGTACGTATATGAAACTGTCAAAGAATAATATAATATATCAAAGGAGGAGGAGAAGACAGAGAAAAAGGAAGAGGAGGAGGAAGGGAGGAAGAAGAGGAGGGGGAGGAGAAGGGGAGGAGGACAATGGGGGGTAGAAGAGGGAGGAAGAAGAGGAGAAAGGGAAAGGAGAGGGAAGATGGGGGAAGGGAAAGGAGGTAGGAAGAGGAAGAGGGGAATAAAGAGACTGGAAAATGGCTCAGTGGTTAAGAGCACTTGCTGCACAATCATGAGGACTGGAGTTCAGATCCCAGCACCCATGTAACAAGCTGGCATCCCACAAACTCCTGGAATTCCAACTCTGAGAAATCCAATGCCATCTTCTGGCTTACACACACACACCCACACACACAGGGGAACACATCCACACAAACATGCAAACATGTGCACATACATTCACCATAAATACACATCAAAAGAGATATTTTTTAGAAAGAAGAAAAAAGAAAATCAACTAAAATATAATGTTAAACTTCAAAGACTGACACTAAAACTGCCATGGGATTTTGTCTGTGTAAAGGCCTAGCACGAGGGACTGCTTGCCTGTCATCAGTGGGGTCCGAATCAGAGTCACGTTCTGGTGGCACACTCAGCGCCTCAGCCAGCTGAGAATTGCTGTCATAGACACGATAATGGATGGGCTGCAGCTGATGAGCATACCACTTCGGCTTGTCACCTATCAGGGCTGGATCAAACATATCTACCAAAAGGGGAAAAACAGTGAGCAGTAAGGAAAACTCAAAAGAAAAGTAGGACAAAGTCTAAAGCAGCTGATGAGCATACCACTTCGGCTTGTCACCTATCAGGGCTGGATCAAACACATCTACCAAAAGGGGAAAAACAGTGAGCAGTAAGGAAAACTCAAAAGAAAAGTAGGACAAAGTCTAAAGCAAAAGAGGGCAAGGGAACAGGCAAGGGGTAGAACCAGCAGTTGGACAAAGGCAGAGAGTGTGGGAGAGGGCAGGTGGACTCACTGTTGTGAATTCGTTGGAAGGCATAGTTGGAAGGGTTAAGGATCCATTCTCCAAAGTACTCCACAGCTTGAGTCCTGGCCAGTTTCTCTGCAAAAGGAGTCTGCCTGGGACGTGAGGCCAGAAAGGAGCCAGCTTGGAAAGCTACTACAGGCCGAGGGAAGAGTCGCAGGGTACGTGTATGCATCTGAAAGCCCTGCAGCATGTTAGCAGAGTTGAAGAAACGTACCATGGCCACTCTAAGAGAAAAGGAGGTTGTGAGATAATCCAAGACCCATTCCCTGTAGAGTAAGAACATTCTTAAGACTCCAAGGTCTTAGACCACCTCCCAACACCATCATTTAACAGGTTTCCAACATCAAGGGGAGACATATCTTAAAGACTCATCAGCCTTTCTCTGAATGCTGAGAGTGTGAACTATTTTGTCTCCTTGCTTTTGAAGGTGGAAAATATAACCAAATATCATTTACATTTTATATATAAAGTAAATCTGAGAAATAATCTCCCCCAAAATCAAGAGAGCAGAGAAACCAGTTTAAGAACTATTGATTGTACAGTTGACTTGGTCTTACCTGGTTGCAACATCAACCGAATCCACATCATTGCCATAAATGAGTGGGTTGAATTCAGTGGAAGGCGTCGACTGAAGATCACTAGAAGGCCTACCCAAGAGAAGTGGGATTTCCTGGCCCTCGTGGAATTTCTCCAGATTGAGAATAGGCTGGGTGTTGAGACTCATGCTAGCTAGGGCCTGTGGAACAACAAGAAGTCCTCATGTAAGACAGATTCCTGGGCAGTCAATCTCAACTCCTAGAAAAGAGCTGTCTTAACATCTTAAACATCTCACTCTCTGATCAAAGAACTGTGCTCATTGGAAATCAAGACCAACTTGTTTCAGAGCCTACATCTTTGGAAAAAAGAACCCAATTTTTCTTTCTTTTTTTTTTAGAGACAGGGTCTCCCTATAGCCCCAGCTAGCCTGGAACTCGCTATGTAGACCAGGCTGGCCTTGAACTAACAGAGATCTACCTCCCAAGTACTAGGACTAAATGCATGCACCACCATGCCTGGCTGAAAAAGAACCCAATCTTAGCCTTTAGAAAATAGAATTATGTAGGTCTCCATCTTAAGTCAACCCAAGCTCAAAGCAATTTGATAAATTTGAAGTCCAGGACAACAGCTTTCCAATTTTTTTAGTCAGGACATTATTTTCACATTGAAATCTATGTGGAAATATGAACAAGTGGAAATATGAACAAATAAAATGTAAAAACAGAGTTGCTTAGAAGGACATAAAAACCTAAAGCCTCAAATTCTCAACCTAAATCAGCCTCTAAGAGACTCCACAGGGCAGTTTGAAAAGCACTGGTCCAGACCAGCAGTGCTTTTGAAATGATAGTGGACATAGGAATCAACTGGGATGGTGTTACAAGTAGATTCAGAATCAGTACACCTGGGGCAATTCTGTACTTTTAATGAGCCCAGGTGATACTAATGCTGCTCGTTCACGGGCCACACAGTAATAAACAGGCATAAATCCACATATCGATCCCTTTACATTAGTGTCTCTCTCTTTTTCTTTTTTGGGTCAGGGTCTCACTATGTAGCTCCAGATAGCCTAGAATCCCCTATATAGACCAGGCTGGCCTTGAACTCACAGAGATCTACCTGCTGCCTGCCTCCAAAGGCGTGTGCCACCACACCTAGCTCCATGTTAGTCATTCTTAAGCAGTGACCAAGAATGAAAACACAGAAAGTGAAGAGAGCTAGAGAACTTTCTGAACTTGCAATCCTCACCAGACTCTACTGCGACAAGGTATTATGTTGTATCAGCAAAGATGAAGCAAGCGAGAGAGAAAAGACAGGGAATGACCCATTTAAACACAGTATCCTCTAGAGGGACTACTAGGTACTTCAGACAACACAGAAAAAAAGAGACTTCTAAAGACCCTTCAGATGAGACTGGGGTTCCTAAAATAAGTACTATGTTATCTACTGGTGGTCCTACATAACACAGCAAGGGAAGGAAAGGGAAGGGAAGCCTTGTCATGTTTTACCTTCAGGTTCTATGCTCAGCATGAAGAAGAAGAACATTATCAATAAAAAAAAAAAAATGGGTGCAATGCAAGTGTTTATTCAAAGATTTTTTTTAGAGTCTCACTATGTAGCCCTGGCAGGCCTAGAACGCGCTATGTAGGCCAGGCTGACCTCAAACTTACAGAGATTCCCCTGCTTCCTCCCCAGTACTATGATTAAAGGTGTGCACCACCAAGCCCAGCTCAAAGAAAGGAATTTTTGAGAAAGGTTTCTATAGAGACTATGAGATCAATTTAAGAAGATAATATAAAAGGAATTAATCTGTCCAAACCCTAATCCCCACCTTACAAGACTGAAGGAATGCTATAAAGACAGAAAGAATAGCAGACAGGACAAGAAACAGAAAGTGGGGGCTGGAGAGATGGCTTAATCGTTAAGAGCATTTATTGCTCTTCCAGAGGACCCAGCTGGCCTGGAACTCACTATGTAGACCAGGCTGGCCTTGAACTCACAGAGATCCACCTGAGTGCTGGCACTAAAGGTGTGCACCTCCATGCCTGGCTGAAAAAGAATGCAACATTCCCATGGGAGGTTCAACTGTCTCTGACCCCAGTTCCAGAAGTTCCAACACCCTCTTTTGGCCAAGGGCATACACTCACACACACACACACACACACACACACACACACGATTATGTACATCTAACTGTGTAATACAAAATAAACAAATAGGAATACAAATTTTTTTTTAAAAGGAAACAAAGTGGCTGGGCATGGTGGCGCACACCTTTAATCCCAGCAGCACTTGGGAAGCAGAGGCAGGCGGATCCTCTGTGAGTTCAAGGCCAGCCTGGTCTACAGAGTGAGTTCCAGACAGCTGGAGCTACAGGGAGGCCTGTCTCAAAAAGACCGAAAAAAAAAAAAAAAAAAAAAAAAGTGAAGTTCATTTTTGTTTGTTTGCTTGGGTTAAGACAGAGTCTTGCTATGTAAGCCCTCACACACAGCATCATACACATTACAGGGTGATAGAGCAAATAATGAATTAGAATTTTCTTTTTGTCTTTTTGAGACAAGGTCTCCCTGTAGCCCCAGCTGTCCTGGAACTCACTATGTAGACCAGGCTGGCCTTGAACTCACAGAGATCTGCCTGCCTCTGCCTCCCAAGTGCTGGGATTAAAGGCATGTGCCACCATACCCAGCCAGAAAGAATATTTTTGAGATTTATTCTGCTACCCAAAATTTGGTTCTTCTAGCTGGGCATGGTGGTGCATGCCTGTAGTCCCAGCACTTGGGAGGCAGAGGCAGGCAGATCTCTGTGAGTTCAAGGCCAGCCTGGTCTACATAGTGAGTTCCAGGACAGCTGGGGCTACAGGGAGACCCTGTCTCAAAAAGTCCGAAAAAAAAAAATTTGGTTCTTCTAAGAACCTCTTATTTGAGGCAAAGAAAATCTATTCCCTTTGGAAACAAAAAGGTAAGAGGTTCTTAGAATAGCTGCCTTCCTATAGTAACCCTATACCATCTATTACCCTCTTCTTAAAAAAAAACATTATTACGTTTCTATTTATTTATTTTGTGTGTGTGTACCCATACGCATGCCACAGTGCACATGAGGAGCTCAGAGGACAACTTGAGGGAGTCTGTTCTCTCTATCCACTATATGGGTCCCAGAGATTGAAGTCAGGTCATCAGGCCTGGCAGCAGATGCCTTAGTTGTTAAGCCCTCTCTCTAGCCCTTTCTCTTCTTTTCCTTCATTCTTTACCTACCTGCTTTAAGTGTTTCTTCAGCTCTAACGATTCTGGTTCTGGCAGGATGGGGAGCACTTCTGCGTTGGTGGGGGCAATCACCTGTAGCAGAAAAAAGAGAAAAGGCATGACCTTAGAAGTAGTTGTCCAGGGGTTTTACTTACATAAGGGCAAATAACATGCACAGAGACATTTTACAGATATAATATTATCAGATTACAGATATGTTATACTATACATTTGTGTATTATAAGATACTCACATACATACACCTTACACACATGAGAGATGCATGCACACCTGAAAAGAAATATAACTAAATACTATTGGTGATTCTCTCAAAATAATAGGATTATGGATCTTACTTTCTTCTTTACACTTACTTTCAATCTTTTTTTTATGTTTATTTTATTATTTTGTGTGGGAGTGTGTGTGCACATCACACTGCATGTGTGGAGAGTAGAGGACAACTTTCAGGAGTCTGTTCTCTCCTACTATGTGGTTCCTGGGGACTGAACTCAGGTTGTCAGGTTTGGTAGCAAACACCTTTACCCGTTGAGCTATCTTGCTGGCCCTACACTTATTTTTACTTTCTAAAACTTAATAATGAACACATATTAGGCTTTTTACAAACGTTTTAATATACTCATATTGCAAAATGTTAATAAAAATTTAAATCTACATGGAAAGACAGTTTCTTACTGGACACAATATCCCAAGAAATCTATTATCAGATTACCTACACTATATATAATGACATATGCAAAGTAATTGCCCTAAGGCTCAGAAAATGCAGGAGAAGCTCTTAATTCTGGAAAAACTAAATCTTAGAATTCTGTGAGTCCTAACCAAGGGCCTTTGTACCCAATAAAGTAAAGCTGGCACTAGAAAAAAAATTGCTTCAATGAGTCTTAAATAGAAATAATCTAGAAAAATAGCGATCGCAGAATTGGGTCTAGAATATAATCCTAGGCTACACCTGATGATACTTCAGCCCAGAGCCTTACCCTATTGCTGTCTAGATCCACTAGCCACACATCATCAGGCATTTTGAAGTCTAGTTTGTAGAGGAAGAAGCTGGCAGGAACCCCAATGATGTATGGCGTTGGAGCCAAAAGCAGCTGTGGAAAAGATAAAGGGGAAGAAAGAAAGAAAAAAAACCTGTGTGAGCACATATCAATCAGGATTTTTCTAGATAAGGAAATGCAGGCCCACAATCCCTTTCCCAAAACACTTGAGGCTAAATTAGGAATTTTTTCAGATTTTATAAAGGTAACATAATCCATTTCAGCAAATTAACACCTAGAGCAGCATAACAAGTAGTCTATAATCACTAATTGTGATAAGCAAAGAGTATAAATAGCAAGGTTTTACAATCCAATCAGTTCAATCCACCAAATATTTCAGATTAATAAATTATAAGGGACAGAGGACCAGCACTGACCTACATGGAGCTTCCTCCCTCATGAAAGCAATGATGTCAAAGCCAGAAGACACCTTGAGACTCACCTGCTCTGCTGATGCCATACAGGTGGGAAGCAGTGGAATGACAGGAAACATGTATTCCAAGGGGTAGATCATTGCCACAAATGCCATCACAGACATGGAGAGTGCATTGTAGTCTCGAGACTGTAGCACCACCTGGCATGGCCATACCATACCATAAAGATTACTCAGCAGCATAACATAAGGTTTACAAGGAAACAGCTTCCAGCACCACAATTCAGTTTGTGTCACCACAGCTGCAATCCACCTGGCTCTAGTCCTAGCCATATCCGTCACCTCCCAACACAAACAATGTAGTAGTCCTCCCTTAAAACACCACCTCCTTAGTTCTTTTACTCTCCGTCCCAGGACAACACACTGAACAGAACTACTGATAGGCTCAGAGAATTAGGTCAGTATAAGTAAGGATAATTCAACTGAGCATTTCATATGACATCAATCTTAATTTAACCCTTGTCTACCAAACACCTGCTATATACCAGGCATCACATTACCTCCTGGAAATAAAGGGATGAAAAGGACAGAGTCCCTGTCCTCAAAGAGCTTACTCTCTAGCCCCCAACAGGTTATACAGCTCTCTCTAGAAAGGTCTATAAAGCTGGCCTTCTTACCTTGTGTTCCAACAGGATGCAAGTTAGCACCTGAAGACAAGCATCCACACCCAGAAGTTCCAAGGGAAGGTGAAGTGGGAAATCCACTAGGGTGAATCGAGAAGGGTCTGGAAGAGCAAAGGTCAGAGCTGGCTGGAGTTCCTGGGGCAGGACCTCAATGTCCACTCGCTTTTGCCCAGAGACAGGTACTGGAGAGCGTAGCAATCGATAGATCCAGGCCTCAATCTCTCGAAGGTCATGCAGAAGGGCACTTGACTTCTCCTCCACCAGCAGTGATCCAGTGAAGATTCGCCACATGGTGTCCCTGAGGAGCAGACAGCAAGACTCAGACACGAAAGCATTAGCAGCTGATACCACTGAAACCCAATATAACCATGAGGATAAAGGAGAATTGCTAGGAAAGCCCACTCTGAGGTCAGATGGAACCAGACAGTATATTCGATGCCAAGAGCAAATGTAGAAAGGTGTATTTGATAGGATTCCATGTCATGCCCACCATAAGACATTAACCCCCTCCGCACTTCTCTAAATACAATTACAGCAGGAGGTCTGACTCTGCAGCAGTCTTATGCTCAGGACTGCAATGTTCAAAGAGTTCTAAAGAAGCACAAATTGTAGAGGAAATGTCTTATGCCCCTCACAGATGAATCATAACTATTCTCTAAGTGCTTCCCCTTAAGCAAATCATACCTTTGCACACCTCGAGGGATGCCCAGTTTCTTGCCTAGCAGCCGTTCACTACAGCAGTCTACCAAACGTTTGAGAGTATACAGACACTCCCGGAAGGTGGAGAAGAAAGGATAGTGGCTTAGCACGCACAGAGATGTCAGAGTACTGTTGCGAGAACGGCTGCCCCCCTTTGCCCAGTGTTTGCCTCGAGGAGACTGGTTCACATCAGGGGTGGAGTCGGCACTGGGAGGCTGCAGGGTTGAGCCACTCTCTGAGCTCTCAGTGCCAGCCTCTTCTGAGGCACAGGTGGCATGAGTTCCTTCTTTCCCATGGGATCCTGTTCCACCTTCTCCCTTTTCCTTAGGCATTCGCTTTTGGAAGGAACGGTAGAAGTTAACACAGATGCCGTAACGGGTGACTCCAGTGTCCTTGTCAGTGAGGGTGAAGACGAAAGAGGTATCATCTCGAAGGCTCATGCGCCGCTGCCGCACACTCAGACAGCCCTCTGGCTGGCAGAAGAACACTACATCTGGGGGCAGGGGAAACTCAGGGTGATCCTCTAATGGGTATCTCCGTAGCAGTTCAGGAGTCTGGGCCACACTATCACTGCTTGGGTGCCTGAAGAACATAAAACAAACTCAGCAGTCTGATGTCATAGGACATACTATCCTATTTAACCACAATCAACAAATAAAGCTCAAAGTAAGCTAATGATAGGACCTCGGATGTATGTAGACAGCTTGCTACATTTAGTTGACAGGCTAAATGATGTCTGTATCGTTGCAAAGGCATCTATCCTGAAAGTTTCAACAATATAATCATCACTGACACCTTAAGATGATCAACACCTTTCAAAGTATATTACCTAATAAACTATCACAAGAATATAAGCAGTAGAGGAGTACAAGGACTTTTCCTTTTTTATTTTTTTAATATTTTATTATTTTTACTTTATGTGTATGCGTGTATTGCCTGTGTCTAGGGAAGTGTGCCCATGTCATGCAATGCCCGTGGAGGACAGAAAAGGCTGTTGGATCCCCTAGGACTGGAGTTATGGACAGTTGTTAGCTGCCATGTGGGTGCTGGGATCTGAACCTGGGTCTTCTGCAAGAACAACCAGTATTCTTAACGAGCCCCGACTTTTCCTTTTTTACAAAATATGAAAGCTTGGATATAAAGGGTACATCCAAGTGATTTGTTCAAAATAACAAAGTTGTGAGTTAAAAAAATTTTTTTTTTTTTTTTGGTCTTTTTGAGACAGGGTCTCCCTGTAGCCCCAGCTGGTCTGGAACTCACTATGAAGACCAGGCTGTCCTTGAACTCACAGAGATCCACCTGCCTCTGCCTCCCGAGTGCTGGGATTGAAGGCATGAGCCACCATGCCCAGCTCTTTGAGTTAAAATTTTTAGGATTAGTCGGGCATGGTGGTGCATGCCTTTAATCCCAGCACTCGGGAGGCAGAGGCAGGCGGATCTCTGTGAGTTCAAGGACAGCCTGGTCTTCATAGTGAGTTCCAGACCAGCTGGGGCTACAGGGAGACCCTGTCTCAAAAAGACCAAAAAAAATTTTTTTTAGCATTTATTTATTTAATGGGGGTGGGCGTACATGCCACAGCACATATGTGGAAGTCAAAGGAGAACCTGCAGGAGTCAGTTCTCTCCCTCCACTATGTCATGTCTCAGGGATAAAACTCAGGCCATCAGGCTTGGTAAGCTGAGCCATCTCACTGGACCAAAGGTATGAGTTAAAAGCTGAGTTTTGCTCTGACTCAGTCTAGACCAATATTCCTGAATCACCCCACTGTGTGGTTTTCTCTACCAGCATTAGTGTTCCCATCAGGGTTAAAAAACAGGGGATAATAAGATATGCAGATCAACATAAAAATAACGGAAGATTTTGTGGCTGCTCCAGAGAACAAGATAATTTGTCTTCTTGGTTACCTGGCCCCTACGATCACTAGATAGTCAAGTAACCGAGGGCAGAACTTCTTCTTTTGTACCATGGCTCCAATTCATCAGTTCATCTCAGAAACACTTCAGGGCACAGCACAAGGAGTCTACGTTTCCCAGTGGAATTCTGATATTATCTGAAAATTCAAGTTAACAGGGAAAAAGTACTGATAAAGATCCACTGCTATGCCTAAAGGAATCATCCCTCTCAATTTCACCCCAGCACAGGTCAGAAGGCCTTCCACTTTAGTACTAAGGAGAAGAGAATCTGACACTAGCTTGGCCTACTGGTTGTCTAGGTTTATGGGTTTCCAGAGTCAAATATCAAGTAAACCAAGGGGCAGGGGAGTGCAGCTCAATGGTAGAGTGCTTACCTAGCATATACAAAGCCCAGGACTCAATCCTCAGCACTGCAAAAGGAGGAAGAGGAGCTGGAGAAATAACGGCTCATCTTCTCATTCCTACTAAGTAGCTCAGTTCCAGTTTAGCCCCTGAGGCTATGTTTCTAAGAAACAGATCTAGGCAGTCTAGACTGGACTTAGTAATGATGATAACAAAAATTAAATAATTTTCAGGACCACTCCAGGGTTGATCAAGATCAAACCAGACTCTTCAAACAACATTAATTTGTACTTCTAGGTCTAGATGGAAGCCTAATTATTCTGTTTCACAAGCTGCATTCAGCTTGATGTGAAACTACCATGTAGACTTTCTAGTTAATTGCGCTCAGACAATAACAACAGCTGGCTATTCTAGTTTATGTGGTCTGACATGAAGAATGTCCGTGTCCCAACTGCCTCATGTCCAACCACGGCCTTCTCCCTTAGGGACCCTAAGCAAGAAAGGGGGCCAGTGGCTGCTGCTACTAGCTCTGCTCTTGGTGCTGAACCAACAGCTCTTGTCTAGTCTGGTCTTGGGATGAGAATCAGTAATATAATACCTGCAAATGAGGCCTGTCCTTCCCTATGTTACAGAAATTATGACTTAAGTACCAAAAATACTAGGACTTCTAAAAGGACAAGAAAGGTGCTCAAAAGAATTTCTAAAATTGGGGAAATACTAGATATTTTATTAAGTATCTATTATTTCTTGTGAGGTCTTCGTATTTCTCTAAAGTGTTTCACTCTGCTACAGGATTGATTTCCAGAGCTCTGAGATTCCTCCACTATGTTCAGTCCATAGCCACACTGAAACCTGGTTCATAGTACACACACACAAATCCCACTACAATGCACACATAAACACAGTCCACTCCTTCATTTGCTGCTGTGGACACTTCCATACAAACACACATGTACACTCCCTGTTAAGCTTAAAGCCCTATTTGATTTATATAGTGAGAAGGAGGTTGATCTTTTTTTTCCTTCTACCTATAAACAAGACCTATTTACAATACTTCAGGTGTCCTCAAAATACTGTTCCTTCTTTCCCCTTGCTCCCAATAGAGGACCCGAAGGTAAAAGGATTCAGTTTTGTCTCCATAGCGACTCTGGTTCCCAGTACTATTTATAGCAGAGCCACAGCCCCTCCCCTGCTTGGTGACCGCACAGTGCTAGCAGCTGCTACACCAGAGTCAGCCAGGGCCCATCACATCTTACTCTCCCTAAATCCGAGACACCTCTTCCACTGACAGCACCTGCTAAGAATCAGGTTATCTTCACTCCCATCTGTCGTTCCTTTGTTCTTTATCTCACTTGTGGCTTTGAACAGAAATAGCTCCTCACCACCAAGTTCCTGAGCATGCCACACTCAGTCATTTCTGGGGTTCACCACTCTTTTAATAACCCCAAACAGCCCAAGACACGGGTATACTGCAGAAGTGGGGCATCTTATAGAACTGAGCTCAGCTCCTCCTAGGGAAATGAAAACAGGAGAGAAATGAAGGCACAAAATGCAATATGGGTGAAAACCATATGTTCTACCTAGAAATATCTACTGTGAGAGTCAAAGTATCTTAGAATTTATAGGAGATGGCTCAATAGTTAAGAGCACTGGCTGCTCTTGTGGAGGACTTGGGTTCGGTTACCAGCACCCACATGGTGACTAATCACAGTGGGTAACTCCAGTTCCAGGGAATCCGACACCCTCTTCTGACCTCCGTGAGCACTGCATGACAGGGGTGCACTTACATACATGCCGGCATACACTCATACACATAAAATTTAAAAAAAATAATAAAACATTTTAAAACAGAATTTATATTACCAGAACTGTAGGCGAAATCTTTAGATGCAAGTTTACATTGAAAACCAGAAGCAGTCTCTGGTTAAAAATCTCAAAAGTGGGCACTGAAGCTTTCTCCTAATAAATTAGGCGTGGGGACCTCTCTAGTATTGGTGGGATGGAGGCTCTCTCCATATCCAGGTCTATTACCATATTCTACAGTTCTCATCTCCTTCCAGAGCTACCTAAGATCCTGTGACTATCCTAGCTACCAGTGTTCAGATAGATTTTTAGCCTGGATTCCCATCTCTTCAATAGCCACTGCCTTCAGACTGCAGAAATAACCAAGGCTTCTCTTCTCATTCTTTTTTCCTTCCCCAGAGACTCTTAATCCTGACACCATAACTCACACTGTCTTCATAACCAACTAGGCTAAGACTCCACCTCATGCTTCACTTCTATTTAATAATGCAGAGCCCCTAGCTCCTGTCCCCATGTAGTCCATAGCTCAAAATGCATTCCTTTCTCCTGAAGTCCTACATCACCATCCACATCTAGAATTCAGTCCTTTAGTTCGTCTATGCCTTTTTAGCCTACAATGGCCATGGTAACCAACCCTTTGGATTTGTCCCTCATTTGGGGCAGGACCTCATAGTAAAACCACAGGAACTCGACCCGGGGACGATATGACATCCTCGATGACCTGAGCACAACCGGAGGCTTCCTCCCCGCCCCCACCCCGCTCCTCCTCCTCCTCCTCCTCCTCCTCCTCCCCCTCCCCCTCCCCCCTCCCCCTCTTCAGGCAGTGAGTGACCTTGCAAACTCATCCGCACACACTGGCCCAGCGGGGGGTGGGGGTTGGGGGGTGGGAGAACTGGAGCAATGAAGCCAGAAATGGATAGGATTGGGAAAGAAGGAGAGCACGAGGAGGAACTGAGATGCACCAGGATGTAAAGGGCGTACTAGAAGGAAACATCAAATGGTGTGTCTAGTCTTCAGCAAGTCAATATTGAAGCATGAAATGTAAATTGCATATATGTATATATTAGAACGTGGTTCTCCAAAACCTAACCACAAATAAGGCACGCGCACGCATGCACGCATACAGCACACATGCACAGTCCACACGCCAGGCGCTGGTGCCTGTCCGGGCCGGGGCTGGACAGCTCTGCCCGCCCCCTCACCTGCTGGACAGTTCCTCGCCCCAGTCCCGGAACCCGCACTGCGAGCCGGGCAGGAATGGAGCGCAGTGCAGCGGCCCGGAGCCCACAGACCTTCCGCGGCCCGCGCCCCACTCGGACCCCAATCTCAGCTCTCTCGGAGACTCCACGCCCCCTCGCGCTCCTTCAGGGCCGCCTCAGAGACCGTTTCCTCCAGGAGCCCGGCACCCCTCAAGTATCCAAGTAGGGTTCCCGGTGGCCCGGACACCCCTACCTCCCGAGCTCAGAGGAACCTGCCTTTCCGGCCCGGTGCCTCCCGGCCGCGGAGCGTTCGTCGCTTCCCAACCCCGAGCCGCTGCGAGCAGGCGCCAGTTCCGTGTCTGCACCGGGGGACGCGTACCTCTCGGACAGGGTTCCGGAGGGGCTGGCCGGGGCCAGGGTCCTACCATTCGCCGCCCGGGGGCTAGGGCTGCACCAAGCCGAGCGCCGGAAGGTGGAGCCAATTTCGGGAAGGCGGCGACGCACACACCTCTCGGAGTGGGAGTGGGAACGGGATGGGGCGCTCTGGGCCAGCCCAGTGCTGGGAGGTGCCAAGGGGAGGACTCAAGGCAACACCTTTTGTTTAGGTTGGCAAACAAATTTTAATTCGACATGGGCGTAGAGCCCGTTTCGACCAAATGGTAATTAATCTGAAAGTACCTCTCCGGATGAAATGCCTCTGGGACTTTCTGACCGTCTCTCCAAACCTCAAGCCTCACTCCCCCCTCAAGCTGTTTGGAAGTGCCCAGCCGCCTAGGCTGGCAGGTCTGCTAGTCAGCAAGTGGAATCTACCAATTCTAGATGGTGGGGGGGGACTACAGGCGCCAGGATATCACCTACACCGGCGCGCACTAAGAGGCAAAGTGAACGATGCCGCGATGCCCGCCGGGAAATGGAGTACAGTCCTTTTGACAACCTAAAAAAACGCACAGGGCCACCTCCCCTGGCCTCTAAGAACTTTTCTTCCTGTCCCACGGAGCCCAGAGTCCGGAAGGAAGGATACCTGGCCCTGGGTCTTTCAGGTTGACAAAGGAAAAAACTAAGACATTATATATGCACGTGAAGTGCACTGCTGAGTTAGTTCTGGAAATTCAACTCCTCTTCCCCCACTAGAAAGACCACCTGCTTTTACCTGGATCATTAAGAGGGAAGGGTCATCTAAGCCCAAGCATTTCTCTTACGCAGTGGGGCTAGTGAACAGAAACTGTCACTTGACTCTGAGTCTGGAGGTGGATCCTAAAGGGCACAGCTTTCCTCCTCCACTGCAGCACCCCAACCCCCAGCCCAGAAATTGGTTTTGCTAGTTCTATATTCATCTTGGTCTTCCTGTTCAGAGTGCCAGCTCTATCAGTGAAGCAGCCCTGAGGCATTTACTGCCAAGCCACAGAGAGATAATGGAGAATTTCTTTGGGGGCCCTGTGGGGAAAAACAGGAAGTGGTGGAGGCAGGATAGGCAGGGCCCTGAAGAACCCTGTGCAAAGTGGCCCCCAGGTTAGTCCATTTGGTTGGGTCAACAAGGTCTTCAGATGGTGCACAATTTTGGCACCCCCCTCCACACACACACACACACACACACACACACACACACACACACACTGCCCAGCAGCCACAAAACTCCCAACCCTTTGACTCTCCTTTAATGCCATGCGAGGTCTCTTTCACCCAGTTCCCAGGAATGTTTGCCTTTCTCAGTCTGTTCCATCTCTAGGAGGCAGTCAGTAGGTGGCAGCCATGTGGCCCCAAACAGAAGACACGGAGGAAAAGCAGTCATTCGTGCACATCCCAGATCTCAGAGAGCAGTGGGGGAAGTTTTTTGTCCTGCAGGCGCAGTGCAAACACTTGCTCTGAGTGGACACTGCTCAATGTCCGGAGGCTCACCAACTTCATTAGCATTCGGGGGAACATCAGGTGGTCCTGGATAAAGGAAAATGAAGGGTCTGTTGCTTTTCCCCAGAGAAGGTTGGGCAGGGCCAGCAAAATTGTGAAGAGGTAAAGAATTGCATATGCTAGGTGTAGGCAGAAGGGTTTTTGAAGGAAAGTGGGTATATCAGAAAATGGGCCTGAAGAGCAAAAGAAAAAGGCACTGGGGGAGACTCACGTGGGGATGATGGATGGAGACATAGGCATGCAGGGCCTCCACATATGTGTGTTGCAGCTTCTCTACTTGGAGCTGGTCCTGCACGTTGGGCCGGTCTATAGGTCACCAACAGAGTTGAGGAGCAGGTCTGGCCAAGGTCTTAGTTCCATACCCAAAATCACAACCCCTAAATAGGGACATTTCCCACCCGAGCTTTCTCATCCCCGAATAACACTGCAAGCACCCACACCCACGGTCCCTGCCCGGTGGGGACTGCAGCTCTCCTGGGTGAAAGTCTTGTACACAGTTTCCCTCCTGCCCCTCCTCCGCACCTGCAGAGAAGATGCTGATAGCAATGAGCAAAGCAAACTCGGCATCATTGAGTTGCAGTTCATTCATCGCTCTGGAGAACTCAAAGATGGGGTTGATGAACTCCACCTGCAGCCCTGGGGAGGCAGAAAGGGGGATGAGGGTTCTGACAGGAGTAGCAAGAACTTCCTTTAATCTCAAAACGTGGAGAACTGTTAGGAACTCGCTAAGATGTTTCCAGGCCTCTGCTGTGACAGGGCAAGTTTCTTAACTTCTATCTTCTCTGTGAAACAGGAGTCATAACTGAATCTATCTGATAAAACTATTGTTTTATGCTGGGCATGGTGGGTCATGACTGTAACCCCAGCACTTGGAAGCCTAAGGCAAGAGGATTCCAATTCCCAGGCCAGCTTGGGCTATAGAAAGAGCCTGTCTCAAAACAAAACAAAATGAAGCAAAAACTTATTGTGATGGTATGTAATGGCTAATATTGATAGTCAACAGGATACAGAGTAGTCACGTAGGAGACAAACCTTGAGGCATGTCTGTGAGGGACTGAATAAGAAGAAAGAAACTGCACACTGGCATTCATCTGTCTCTGTTTATGGACAGTGACTACAAGATGACCAGCTACCTCATGCTTCTGCCGTCATGCCTTCTCTGCCACGGTGGATTGTAATCTTAAGCAACAAGTCAAAATAAATCCTTAAGTTGCTTTTGGCAGTATTTTGTCACAGAAACAAGAAAAATAATATAGATTGTTATATGATAAAGTATGCAGGGTGCTTAGCACAGTGGCACATAGAAAGTCCTAAATTAAATAATAATTAGCCAAGGACTGGAGAGATGGCTCAGTAGTTAAAAGCATCACCTACTCTTGAAGAGGGCCTGGGTTCAGTTCCCAGCACCTTCATGGGGCTAACAACTATCCATAACTCCAGTTCCAGGGGATCCAACTCCCTTTTCTGGTCTCCATGAACACTGCATGACATGGGTGCACTTATGTATATACGTTACATACAGGCAAAATACTCATAAAAGAAATAGACCGTCTAAAAAAACAACGAAAAAAAAAACCTCAAGTTTTTTTCTTTTTTTTAAGTGGGCTGGATGGCTCAGCAGTTAAGAGCACTTGTTGTTCCCAGCACCCACATGGTAGCTAACAACCATTGGTAACTCCAGTTCCAGGAGAATCTGACACCTCTTCTGGCCTCCTCCAGTAAATGCAACTTGATGCACTTACATACGTGCAGGCAAAACACTCATACTCACCGGGCGTGGTGGCGCATGCCTTTAATCCCAGCACTCAGGAGGCAGAGGCAGGTGTGAGTTCAAGGCCAGCCTGGTCTACACACTACATAGCAAGTTCCAGGACAGCTGGGGCTACAGGGAGACCCTGAAAAAAAAAAAAAAAAAAAAAAAAAAAAAAACCAAAAAAAACCCAAAAACAAAAACAAAAAAAACACCCATACTCATAAAATAAAAATAAATTAAATATGGCAAAAAATTGTAATTAATTTTTGTGATAGGGTCTCATGCAGTCCAAGTTGGCTTCAAACTCATTTTGTAGATGAGGATGTCCTTGAACTTCTTTTTTAAAAGATATTTTATTTATGGGCTGGAGAGATGGCTCAGTGGTTAAAAGCACTGACTGCTCTTGCAGAGGACCCAGGCTTGATTCCCAGCACCCACATGGCGGCTATGAGCTGTCCTTAACTCCAGTTCCAGGGGAATCCAAAGCCCTCTTCTGACCACCGTGGCGTTGCATGACATGGGTGCACTCACATACATGCAGGCAATACACTCATACACATAAAATGAAAATAATAAAATATGTTTTTAAAAAGATATTTTATGGGGCTGGAGAGATAGCTCAGCAGTTAAGGGCACTGACTGCTCTTGCAGAGGACTGGGTTCGATTCCCAGCACCCACATGGTGGCTACGAACCGTCCTTAACTCCAGTTCCAGGGGAATCTGAAGCCCTCTTCTGACCTCCGCAGCATTGCACAACACGGGTGCACTCATATACATGCAGGCAATATACTCATATACATAAAATTTTTTTAAAAAGATATTTTGTTTATTATTTTTATTTTATGTGTATGAGTGTATTGCCTGTATGTAGGTAGGTGTACCCCTGTCATGCAAGGCCCGCAGAGATCAGAAGAGGGCATCAGAGCCTCTGTAACTAGAGTTATGGAAGGTTGTCAGGGGCCATGTGAGTGCTGGGAATCGAACCTGGGTCTTCAGCAAGAGCAGTCAGTGCTCTTAACCACTGAGCCATCCCTTCAGCCCTGAACTTTTGATCCTTCCATCTCCAGCTCCTGAATACTGGGATTATCAGCATAGACTACCATGCCCAGTTTATGTGGTACTGGGGCATTGAATCTAGGGCCTCATGCATACTAGGCAAACACTCTACCAACTGAGCTATATCCCCCTTATTTTTGTTTTATTGAGAAAAGGTCTCATGTAGCCCAGACTAGCTTTATACTCACTATGCAGCAAAGGATAGCCTTGAACTTGTGTGTATGTGCGAGCATATGTGTATATGTAGGAGTGCACTCACCCAGGCTTGTATATGTGGAGACCGGAGGTCAACATCGGGTATCTTCAACTATTGTTCTCTACGATAGTTTTTGAGACAGTCTCTCACTAAACCTGGAGCTAGCCATTGCATCTATATTGGCTGGCCAGTGAATCCCAGGGATTCTCCTGTCTCTGCCCCTAACCCAGCACTAGGGTTCTAGATGTGTGCCACCGTGCCTGGCTTTTACATGGTGCTGTAGATCCAAACTCAGATCCTCATGTTTGCAAGGCAGGCACTTTACCCACTGAGGTACCTCCCCAACCCATGGCCTTGAACTCTTGATCCTCATATTTCTGTCTCCTGATTAAAAGAACAAACAATAATGAAATCAGTCTTCTTGCAGAGAAGACAGAGCACATGCAACAAACCATGACCCACAGCCAAGATACCTAGTGCATTTCTTTCACACTCATTGTCAGAGTCTCCACCCCACACTTTTTCTAGGCTTTCTCATATTTCTTTTAGCAACCATCTGCTACACTTTTCCATTGGAGGTTTCTTGATTAGTCACTTCCTGTAGTTTCACCCTGATATTTATCAAGAGTTGTGTGTTGCTCTATTCAATAGGCAAACCTGATTTTATAAAGCAATTCTTGATGAAATTCTAAGCCCAAAACGTGCTTAAAAATTTTAAGACAAAAATGTACCTTTAGGGCCTGATGTAGTGGTATATGCCTTTAAATCCCAGTGCTTGGGAGGCAGAGGCAGGCAGATCTCTGTGAGTCCAAAGCCAGCCTGGTCTATCTAGTGAGTTCCAGGTTATATAGTGAGGCCTTGTCTCAGAAAAGAAAAGCCCCTTTATAAAAAGATAAAGAAAGGTTCTAGAATTGAGTTATACTCTCATGAGAGCCCACTAATACTTGCTGGAGGAACATGTCAAAGAGGATTGGTTCACAACATTAGTCATCCATTATGTGCAACATATGGTAGTAGATGTGGAGGGATGAAGAGACCTGACAAAACAATCCCTATGGGAAGACACAGCAAGGCAAAACAAAGAAAACAGGGTAGACAAACCTTTTTAAAAAAAGAAGGAAAGAAAGAAAAAAAGAAAGAGAAACCTCTGTTCCTTTTTCCCAAGACCTTACTGATAAAATGAGAAATGAAAAACATGATGACATCAAAACTGCTTAAATAAAGAACTCATAAATAGGAGCAGAATCAGATAGCACAAATCCATAAAATACTGAAGGAACAGAGCCATCAGAGCCGGGAAGGACTCAAGAAGGAAGATGTTCTGACAGAGGCAAGGGTCTAGAAAGTCTAGGTTAGTAACCATTTGGGGGAAAGGTGTTTGGTAGAAAAGAGGGACAGGGCTGGGCTTTAAAGCTGGATAGAGTTGCCAAATTACCTATTAGGTACCTAAACATTCAGGCAACAAAGAAATGTAAGCCAGACTGGCTTTATACTCACTATGCAGTCAAGGACAGCCTTGAACTTGTGTGTATGTGTGTGCATGTGTGTATATGTGCCTCCACAAAGAAAGGCAACGGGCTGACAGAGCCCTGTGCTGCCCTCCAGTAAAGAGAGGCCTTCCTAGAAAGTTCATTGGGTAGCCTGTGCCAGGACAAGAGGCATGTGAGCTAGCCTGATCACCAGATGCCAGCAAAGGTTTTCTGAACTCTGGTCTGGATCCCAGCCTTGGATCTACCATCCCTGAAAACAGAGTCACAGCATCAGCAGTATTTTAGAACCTGTTCACTTAGCTTGGGTAGCCCTCAATCTCCTGTTCACCTCAGTTCTATTCTCTCCAAAATGCCTTCAACCTTCCATTCTCTCCTAGCCTTGATTCCACACAACCAGCTCTATAAACATCATGAACAGCTAAATAAGAGAAACCCTAGTGTTTGTGTTTAGCCCCAAGCAAGTATCAGACCCAGCACCAATGTGTACCAATTATTAGAGAAAATAGTGGTAGATACTGGATACTATCCTACATCTGTCTCATTTGGCCCATTTGTCATGCTTTGACTCTGGTTCCATAGCTCATCAGAAACAGAGACAGAAAAAGAGTAAGGGACAGTAAGCCTGAGCGATCCTTAAAGAGCATTATTTGGGAAAGGCTTGTTAACTTTAGTCTATTGAAAGGCTTGGTACAGTGGCTTTCAACCTTTTTTCCTAGCTATACAATATTTTCAAGTGTTACCCAGAAGTGCAATGTAGAATGCAAATTTAAGCGGAGCTTCTTGTTTGGCTAAAGCAAGGATGAAGGCCACTGCTCTGGTGTTCCCCAAGGAGGTGCTAGAGTAGCCTCCTCAAGTCACTCAGAACACAAGTTTGGAAACAACTGGCCTGATGCATCAGTGGACAGGGGTCTGCTTGGAGCAGCTGAGAGAGGCCAAGCAGCATTCCAAACTTCTCTTTTGGAAAAACAAGAGGTATCTTCACTGTACAACCACCCAAACTGTAGGCCTCTGGTTCTCTAATCACAATGGTCCCTGTGACAAAAAGCACCTGTCCATCCAACCCAATTCCCTAATCATCTTGGTTCTCACCTGCTTTAGCAAAGTCTTCCCGGTTATAACTGAAATCCTTGAGGAAGGTGATGCTCTCACTCCCAGGGTTGTACCTCCGAGATGTCTCTAGAAGCATCACCTGCATACAAGTAGCAGCTCTCAAACAGGGATGAGGGGGTTGGTCTTGGTACACAGCCTTTGAAGGGAAGGTTGATTCCCTTTCCTCCATACCCCAGTGGCTTGGGTGCTCCCAGATGGATGTCTGGAGGTCCCCCACAGAGTCCCACTCTGGCTCTCCCTTCATCCCTTTCCCTTTCCAGCCACCTCAATTGCAGAGGTCTTCAGCAAGGCGATCTGGTCCTCCCTACTGAGCTGCAGGAAACCAGGAAGCTGTTTGGCAAAGTCAACAATCTCCTGCACCGACACGATGGCCAGCTCAGTAAAGTGGGCAAAGCGCTGTTGACGGGCCTCCCGGCTCTGGGGATCCGGTGTAATGGGCCAAGGCTACCCAGGGTGGGCAAGGAGGGAAAAGGCCAACTGCTGTGAGTCAGATATCAAGAGGCCACCTGGTGCTTTGGGCACAGCCACCTCTCCCCAGGCCTGTCAAGTACCGTGACGCGAAGCTGGTCTGAAAAGGAGCGTCTGTTACACTGTTGCTGGGCAGTAACCAGCTTCTCAATCATGCCCAGTTGCTCTGGGCTGAGCTGCGGTAGGACTTGAGGAGGTGAGGAAGCACTTGGGGACACTGATGTGGCCTGAGCCTGTTCCTCTTCTAGCCGCTTCAATTTCTTCAAGCGGATCTGTTCTTCTGACAAAACACCTAAGGACAGGACCAGATGTGAAGAGGAAAGTATGGATAAGGTAGGATGGATCTCAACACTCAGGAGACAGAGGCAGGCAGATCTCTGTGAGATTGAGGCCAGTCTGGTCTACAAAGTGAGTTCCAGGCCAGCTGGGGCTACAGGGAGACCCTGCCTGAAAAAGACCTCAACAAACATCCCCGAAAGAAAGAAAGAAAAAGAAAGAAAGAAAGGAAGGAAGGAAGGAAGGAAGGAAGGAAGGAAGGAAGGAAGGAAAAGAAATGATGAAGTAAAGGGGATGGTTTGCGGTTCCAGGAAGCAGAATGTAGGTAAAAACAAGGAAGAAATTTTAATCCACACTCAAGACAGGAGTAAGCATCTGTCTGTCTGCCTTCACATCAGGGCATCAGGGCACCAATTTTTTTTCCCATCAGCTCTTTCCCGACTCTGCCTCCCCCCGGCCCCCCACACTCACACTCCTCCCGCATGCCCGCCTGGCGACATTTTCGAAGCCGACACTCCTGGCACTTCCGACGCATGTAAGTGTCCATGGGGCAGTGGCCACCACTGTGGCAGACATAGCGTGCTCCCTTGATGACACTTCGGCGGAAGAATCCTTTGCAGCCCTCGCAGCTCAGTACGTTGTAATGGAAGCCAGAAGCCTTGTCCCCACACACACTGCACAGCTCATTTCCCAGCATTTTGGGGGCTGGCCCCTTTTTCCGTTTTTGTGGGCGAAGCTCTAGATACAGACAGAAGCCTTAATGTCCTCTCTTCCTTGGTCAGTATCCTGGGTACTCAGTGATCCTCATTCTCTTCATTGAATGCTCTGTATCTCTTTCTCTCTCTCTCTCTCTCCCTCCCTCCCTCTCTCCCTCCCTCTCTCCCTCCTTCCTTTTCTCTGACACAGGGTCTCAATTTGTAGCCTAGATTGGTCTTGAACTCTTGGGCTCAAATGATCCTGCCTCAGTCTCCAGAGTATCTGCAATTACAGGGGCACATCACAGTGCCTGGTTTAAACTTTGTGTTTGTGTGTGTGTGTGTGGTTTTTTTGAGTCAGGGTCTCCAAGTAGTCCCAGTTAACCTTGAGCTTACAAAGATCCACCTGCTTCTGCCTCTGGAGTGCTGAGATTAAAAGGGTGTGCCGGCTAATCTCTTTATCATATCAGTTGCTGTCCTTCACCAAGGACCACTAAATCCTAGGTACCCTAAGAGCCCTTTATATCTATAGATCCTTAAGATAACCTAGTGATTAGTTTCAATTGACAAACAAGGAAATTGAGGCTGAGAAAGTCTATGATAGGGATAGAATTCATGCCAAGGTCACTCAGATCTTGTTGATACCAAAGTCCTTGATCTTAACTGTGACATTATAAGCAAAAGGCCCCATGATATCCCTCCCAGATCTAGGGAGACCCTATCATCTCCAAATTCAAGAGCTTTTTACCTGTGGGCTCTGGAATGGCCTCTGCTCTGGGGAGCAAGGCTTTAGGCTCTGCTGCCTCAAGTCTCATCCCCAAAGCACCTCCAGATGATTGGGGCATCCTGGCTTCCTCCCTGAGAATGCAGCTGTCGCCTCCTCGGGCCTGGCTTCTTGCATCTTGCGTTTCCAGCTTCCACAACTCTGTTGCAGAGTCTGAGCCCAAAAGAGAGGCACAAGAGGGTTGCAGGTCCCATCCCTACTCTGTACCCAAGTGTTCCTGGCTGGGAAACTACAAACATCTCTACTCATAGAAGGCAGCCAAGCCCCAGCTTATGCTCTCAGACTCCTGGGTTTTGTGGGAACTAGGACTAAATCAGTTGTAGTCCCTTGCACATCAAGGAGCTCTTAAATGAAGAGGTTAGCCTTTGTCCCCTTGGGGGTGCTGCAGGGCATCTATTTCAGAAAGCAGACAAAACTCTCAAAGCAGGGCTGGCTAAGCATGGAGACATGCCAGCTCTTCCAGCAGCAAGCCCAGATAGTAGACTGCACCCTGGCTTGCACCTGTCAAGCATGAGAGCCAGGGCAAAGGTGTCTGAATAGGAGACAAGCAACACTAATAGATCTGGCCTGTGCTTTCAAGGAGAGCTGGATGCAGGTAGCAAAGAAGGCTGGTTCCTAAAGGAGGAGAGGAGCTGGAGGCCTGGGCTCAGGGGAGAGGGATGGAATAAAGCAGCTTACCAGGAGAAACATCAGGCACAGGGGCCTCCAGCCACAAGGACATCTCTTCCTGGAGCCCTGAACATTACCAAGGCACTGTCCTGCAGGAATGACCCAGGTTACACTCTTCTAGAATTGGGCCTCAGCTCCATTCTCCTGTGCCTGCCTTTTATCAAGTCTCACATTATCAGCTGACATGACTTGCCATGTATTAGCCTGTGCTTAGGAGGCTTTCCAAAACTTTCCTGATTTCTCATCCTACCCCTATCCCTATGAGATCAGGAATTTTTTTTTTTTTTTTCTTTTCGTTTTTGGGTTTAAAACAAGGCTTTTTTCCGGGTTAGCAAAATGTTTTTCCTTTGACTTATACCCCACGCAGTGTTATGAGCTTTCTTGGATGTTTAATAATCATACTTGGCAGCCTATACTAATGGGGTTGGAGAAAATTAAATTAAAGGGGGAATTTTTTTTTTTTTTTTTTTCCTTTCAGTTCTGGGATTGAAACCAGGACTTTATCCAGGCTAGGCAAATGTTCTTCCATTGAACTATACCTCCAGCCTGTCAAGGACTATTCTTAAGTCCATTTTACAGATAAGGAAACTAGGTTCAAAGAGATTAAGGAAATTGCCTATAGCCACATAGGTGGTGGTGGTAGAGCCAAGAGTGGAATCCTGCTAAGTCCAAGCTCTCAGCCACTGTTTTCTACCCTCCTCCCTACCCACCTCCAGGCTCTGTGAAAGCCCTTCTCCTTGCTCTAGCATTGGGAAGAGCTAAAGTTGGCAGGGCCAAAAGACTGGATCCAGGCTCACTCTATGAGTCTGCCTGTTAGAACCTCATTCCTGCCACTTTCCGGAGTCCCAGCATAAACTTCTTGTTCCAAGAGTCTCCCCAAGACAGGACCTCCTCTCACAGAACCCCTCCAGTTCTTCTGGGACCTAAACAAAACCCTATCCTTGTCCATCAGCATTATTCCTTACTTCTCCCCCCCAAATATCCTTTTAAACTCTCGAGGACATCCTCTCATCCCACCCCACCCTAGATGCAAGTACAGAGTCCCAGGCCACTGCTGAGCAGACCCACCGAGTCCCCAGGCCACCAGACTTCCCGGCTGCGCAGTCTCTGGAGCCCCCTTGCTGGGAGAAGAGGGTGGTGCAAGTCCCGGATCCCGAGACCACAGGAACCAGCCGGTGACCCGAGCTGAGCACTCAGGGACCGGGAGCAGTAGTAACGTGGAAAAAGGCTGAGGGGAGGGACTGTAAGGGGTCGGACCACCGCTCCTTCCTGCCTGCCCAGCGACCTGGAGCCCTGAGCCTCCCAGGCCCCCGCCCACGAGGTAGCTTCCCCACCAGGCTGACTCCTCCCCAGGTGGCCACCCCCTCAGCCCGGCGCCACCCTGTCCCCTACCCTCTACCAAGACGGTCGCATTTCCCCGCAGACTGGCCCAGTTCCATCTCTCTCCTTCCTCTCCTCACCCAGGAAGCTCTTTGCTTTTATGGAAGGACTGCTTCCCAGGCACCCCCACCCTAATCCCAGCAGTCTCCAGAGTCTGCGTTCCCTGCCCCCTCTTCCCCGATAGACACCTCGCGGAGCAAAGGTCCCGGCACAGCCCGGAATTGCGACACTGAGCCCCAGCCTGCGTTCCCAGCCTCCCTCCTTCCCTGCTTCTGGGAAGGCGCCAACCTCTCCCCACTAGCCCCAGGACTGGGCCAAGCTGGTAGAACTCCAAGGGTGAAGACAGGCAGGTACTGGGCCTTCCAGGGAGTATGTGCCCTGGGGAGCCAGAGAGCGAAGAAGGCTAGGAAGAGGTTGGTGCTGAGCGATGGCAGGCCTGGGACAGGGATGGGGGGAGCAGATGGCAGCAACCTTGGGGCCAGTCCAGGATAGACCCTGGATGATCTACCTAGGCAGGATGCCTCATCTAGGGTATAGTCCCACCTGAGACCGAGTTCAGGATCCAACGAGACTGCAACTATAGCTTCCCTGTCTTGCTGCCTGGAACAAGAGCTCCAGCCCTGAAGGAAGACATCATATTTCATTGATTTTTATCTCCAAAGGGGATCAACACCTTGCTCAGACAACACAGTAGGTACTGTGTTCCTGTTCGTTGAATAAACAAAGAAAATACGTTCCTCTTCTGCCCCACTATTTGTTAGCTTGAGGTGAATTTTTTTTTTTTTTTTTTTTTTTTTTTTTTTTTTTTTTTGGTCTTTTAGGATGGGGTCTCCCTGTAGCCCCAGCTGGCCTGGAATTCATTATGTAGACCAGGCTGGCCTTGAACTCATAGAGATCCTCCTGCCTCTGCCTCCCAAGTGCTGGGATTAAAAGTGTGTGCCACCACACCCAGGGATCTTGAGTCAATTTCAACTCAGAATAATGATTTATCATTTGTGTTCTGGCCTCAGAATCTGGGTTCAAACTTTGGTCCTGCCTCTCAGGGCTAGAGCTACAACCCAGGGTATCTACCTATGCTAAGCAAGCACTCTATGGCTGAACTCTGCCCCCATCCAACTGCGTGATTTTGACTGAGCAAATTAATGTCTCTGAACCTCTCATCTTTTAAATAGGGGTACTAGGGTTTTTGGGTTTTTTTTGCCACATAAGGTCAATGTGAGAATAAAACACATCAGCATAGTGTGTGGTACACAGTAAATATTCAAGATGAGTCCTGTAGTTGTGGGTCTTCCCATCATCTTGAACTTGCCATTGTCAATACTCTAAATCTTTGTTTCCATGTACAAACCCCTCACTGTCTCTTTGGGTCCTCAGAGCAGCTCCTAAGAGGCAGGGAGGGCAAATAACTACATTTCAGAGAGCACACTGATGCTCACTTGAGGGCCTTGCCCAAGACCACACACAGTTAGTGGCTAAGCTGAGATCAGAATCCAGATGTCCCTACTCTAAGTCCTGTGATCTCCTCCTGTGTTGAGTCCAGGATGTTCTCAGGTCTGAAGGATCAGTGACTTCCTGGGATGGAAGCCAGAGCTGGTGGTCAGCAGGGTTGGTGAGTTGCAGAGCCCTGCAGATGCTTCAGTTCAGATGTAAGAGGCAGGACTGAGGTTACTGTGGGCTGTTCACCCTCTGCCCCACTCCCAGTTTCCTGCTCACAGGCCCTTCCTGTTTTGCTGTGAATGTCAATTCCCATGGGCCTACATTAAAGCACAGGACAAGGGCCAGGGCAAGAAGCCAGAGGGACCAAAAGGGAGATGAACAGGGCACCAGGGAAGAGGAGAACAGAGGGAACAGGGAAAGAGTGCACATGGATGTGGGGGTGGGACAGAGGGAACAGGATGGGAGGACAGGAAGGCTGAAGTAGAAATGAGTCTTGGGGAAAGATGGGAGGAAGCACAGGGTGAAACAAAGGAACAGGCTGGGACTGGGGACATGTGTGAGGAGACAGGAGGCTGAGGGGGTGTTGCAAAATCTGCCCATGTTATTCTTTTTTCACATTCAGAAAAGCCCCTCTGGCAGCTACCATCTGAAGTTTCTGCCTCAGGCTTTTGCTCTTATTCCTTCTCATCACAAGGTCATCACCTCCCAAGGCCTCCACCCTGGTCTGGGTGCTTCTGAGTCATGAACACAAGGCTTTCCATTCCCCAATTTTCACAAGGTCCTGCTATCCTGTGAAAGTAGAAACCAAGGACAGCAGCCACAGAGCCAACTAATCTGTGGGACCACACACATCAAGGATTAAGCTCCCTCCCCCTGTCCATGGTCCAGAATAGAAGTACATTCAGAAATGTTCCTGAGATAGCTCATTTCAAGGAACTTGAGATGTGACACTGGTCAGAAGCCCAGTGACATATCTTCTAGGAGTTAAGAGAAGTCCTACTTATCTAACCCTAATACTTAACTCCCTCTCCTTGTCTCTTCATAGGGGGCTTCCCTGACTCCAGAAACACACATGCAAGCCCCATCTGGGGCCCTCTGGCCTAAGCTGGAGCCAACTGCTGAGCAAGCAGGTCAGGGCACCAACTCCCCCAAGCCAGAGAATTAGCTCAGCCTAGTTTTCTGTAGGTAGCATTACCAGGACTTCACTGCCACAGCTGCCCCTTCAGGTTAGAAGTAGTGGAGGAGCCTCCAGCCTCCCACAAAGAGAACCAAGAGGAAAAAATGGGAAATACCAAAACCTATTGATGGTATCTCCACAGAGTTTCCGGTGGCCAGCCACTAGGACTTCTACCCCAAGCCAGGGCAAGCAATCAGGTGTCAGCAGCTAGAAGCACATATTCCAATCCTGTGGGCCTTTCCTAGGTTTTCTTGGCTTCTCTAGGAAGCAACATTTCTAGGAACACCCTTGGGGAATCTCCCAGGCCACATTTCTCACTCCCCCACCCAAACCTCCAGAGGCAGCTTCTAGGCTTGGAAATAACAGCATTCATCAGTCTCTGGTTAAATGAACCACTAGGTAACTCCCGCAAAGGCGGCTTGTTTAATGGGCTGGAGTAACTATTTCTCTATTCCTCCTTCATCATCCTGGAAGAGTGTAAAGTATGGGGATCATCTTGTAGACCACTGGGAACCCACTCAGTGACCTCTGCTTAATAAGATAGAGAAGAATCCAGAATTCCTGCTTCCCACACCTGTAAGTTCAGACATGATATAGAAGGCAGCACACAAAGGAAAAAAGTAGCATTTATTTAGGCTCTTCATAATTTGTTGCATGCATTATCATTTCATATATTCTCACAATAAACCTTAGGAGATAGTTACAAGGTATAAATATAAAAATTGAATAGAGGTAAAACTTATTCAAAAGCTCATGCTCGGGGCTGGAGAGAAGGCTCAGTGGTTAAGCATGCTGCTGCTCTTGTAGAGGACTGGAGTTTGGTTCCCAGTACACACACCAAACAGCTTACAAGCATCTGTAACTTTAGCTTCAGGGGATCTGACACCCTCTTCTGGCCTGTCAGCAGCCCCCTGCCCCATAAATAAAAATAAATCTTTTTTAAAAAAGCTTATGCTTAAATTCAAACTAAAATAAAACCCAGTATTTCATTATACAAAAGTACCTCCTAAAATGGGAAAAATGGTTAACTCACCTGATTTGTGTTTGTTTTTGCCAACACAGGGTAGAAGAGTAGTTTCCAAACCTGACCTCACTTTCAGGAACTGATTTATGTGGTCTCGAGTAGGCCCATGAATCCACCTATCTATCCATGTACATGTTGATTGTTTTAAAACTGTAGTTAGGAATCAAGGTGTGAGGAATACAAAAATCATCTTGTAGAAAATAATACAAAAGCGGGGGAACCAAGACATCCAGGCATTGCTCTGGGCTCTACCATCAACTTGCAGTGCCCACTCTTCCTGGAATTGTTTCTCCCTATAAAAATCGAAACAACATCTGCTTCACCAATCCCTCCTACACAAGATACTTGCAGACACAAAGGATATAGACATATTTGAGCAAGTAGGAAGAAAAGCAAAGATGAAGGATTTTTCTTCTATTTGCTAATATTTGGTGAGCTAAAGATTTACATTCTGAAAGCACTATGGTCTGGATAATTTGCAAAAAAAAGTAAAGGTTACACTAAAAAAAAAATTGTTTTGTGAGACAGGGTCTCACCTACATTGGCCTCTAGCCTACACTGGCCTCAAACATGCTATATAATTGAGGCTGGCCTTGAACTCCTGATCCTCCTGCCTCACTCTGCCAGTGCTGGAATTACAGGTAAAACATTCCTTTTTTAAAAAAAAAATGTTATTATTTTTATTTTATGTGTATGAGTGTATTGCCTACATGTATGAGTGCACCTGTGTAGTACAATGCTTCGGAGGTCAGAAGAGGGCTTCAGATTCCCCTGGAACTGTTGTTAAGGACAGCTGGTAGCCTCCATGTGGGTGCTGGGAATCAAACCCAGATCCTCTGCAAGAGCAGTCAGTGCTCTTAACCACTGAGCCATCTCTCCAGCCCCAGCTAAAATATTCTTAAAACAAAACAAAACAAAGCTGGGCTTGGTAGCAGGCAGAGGCAGGTGGATCTCTGTGAGTTCAAGGCTAGCCTGGTCTACATAGTGAGTTTCAGGCCAGGCGGGAGACCCTATCTCAAAAAGACAAAAAAGCAAAACAAACAAAAAAACAACTCTAGGCCTGGCATGGTGGCACACGCCTTTAATTCTAGCTCTCAGGAGGCAGAAGCACTCAGGAGGCAGATCTCTGTGAATTCAAGACCAGCCTGGTCTACATATCGAGCTTCAGGACAGCTGGGGCTACAGGGAGACTGTCTCAAAAAGACCAAAAATAAAAAAACAACCCTACAAACTATGTGGCAGGGCATGTCTATAATACCAGCACTTGGGTAGCAAAGGCAGGACTGTTAATTCCAGGCTGCCTGACCTACAAAGTGAGACCCTGTCTCAAAACAAAGAAAAACATTAATATATTAGCACTATTTTTGTCAGACTGTCAGCTATGTTCCATTTAATCCTTTGATGAAATCTTAAGGTACTGGGGGGGGGCATCTATAGTTTAGCAGTGCAATTTGAATAGCCTGTAAGAAATGGCCCATTATAGTGCTTGTTTTGGCAGCACATATACCTACAGTTGGAATACAGAGATTGGCATAGCCTCTGCACAAGGGTGACATGCATATCTGTGAAGCATTCTATATTAAAACAAAAAATGGACTGGCGAGACAGCTCATCAGATAAGGGCACTTGCTGACAAGCCTGACCACCTGAGATAAATTCTTGGACCCCATTAGGTGGAAGGAGTACAGACTTTCAAGTTGTCCTCTGACTTCCACAGACACATATACTCACACCCACACAAATAAACAAATGAAAAGTGCTTACTGCCCCTTGAAGAGGACAGGAGTTCAATTCCTAGCACCTAAGTTGGGTGGCTCACAACTGCATGTAACTCCAGCTCCAGGGGACCTGACTCCCTCTGGCCTGCAAAGGCATCTGCATTCACGTGCTCAACCTCCCACACAAGTACAGTAATTTTTAAAAAGGGGGGATGGGGTGGCACATGCCTTTAATTCCAGCACTTGAGAGCCAGAGGCAGTCCGATTTCTTTCAGTTTGAGGCCAGCCTGGTCTACACAGTGAGTTCCAGACCAGTCGGGGATGTATGAAACCCTGTCTCAAAATAAATAAATAAATAAATACCTATGGAGGATCTTTGTGAACCTCTTGAAATTACATGCATAATTCTATTGCGTGTTCACATGTGAACACTTTCTGGATGAAGGTTAAATTTTCAAGTGATTTGTAAGAAACTTGTGGTTGGGCTAAATTTTCAAGTGATTTATAAGAAGCTTATGGTTGACATAGCTCCACTATTTGGCTTCTGAGCCTTCTTATTCTGCTCACTCCTTAGACTTCCTGACAACTTTGAGAGCAAAGTTTAAATAGTGAGGTATATAAGTTTATGTGGACTTCTGGGACAATTAACAGTTCTAATCAAATTTGTTTGCAGCTCATCTAAGGTTCATTTGCTTCCAGTGGGAAGATCTGCATCAAAGCATCCCAAGGACCTGAGATCTGACCTGCAACTGTGTCATTCCAAGGTTTGGAGCCACAAAATCCCAAGGCCAGACTGGTTGCCCTAAAGGCCAATTCCAAGAGAGACACTGGTATTACGGGAATTCCACCTACTCCCACTGTTATATACCCCAAAATATGGTCCCAGTTGCCTGAAATCCTTCCCTTTGGAATTCAGTGCTTTGGGTTTGGGAAATCTGAACATCCTGTACAATCCAACTTCTTTGAGAAGCCATGAACTCGAGCCTAAGTTAAATTTAGAAGTGGACAAGAGGGAGCAGGGGGAACGACTGAAAAGGGGAGCGGACTACAGAAGGTTTGCTCAGGGCATTAAGTAGACTAGTCTGGACCAACCTCAAGGACACCGGGAGTCCAAAGTGCTGTTTACATACTGTGCCCCGCACCCCAAACAAAACCACTCCCGGGGAAACAGGGCCAGAGCCAAGGCTCAAACTCCACCCGGAAGGCAGGAGAAAGACGCCCTCTACCTCGCCGGGATTCTTGCACTGACTCGGAGGCGCCCCAGACTGAGGAGGCGCTGGCTCTCCCGGTCAAGATCCCACCCAGGGCAAGGCCACCTTGGTAAAGGAAGAGACAAGCCTGACCTCCGGCCCTCTTTACCGAAACCAGGTTTTTAAGCCTTTTCCGCCGCGCGAAGTCGCGCTACATCCCCACGCTCCTCCACCACCGCCGATCACAGACCTTTCTAAGGATTCCCTCCCACCTACCACTTTCTCCCACCAGCCGTGCCCCTCCTTTAGGAAGATGGCGATGGGTGCGCTTCCGGTATGTGTCTTTCCGGGTGCCTCCGGGCGGCTGCAGCAGGTGCCGCCCAACGCGTTCCGGCCTCTTTGCTGCACAGCATAAAGCGGTGATGGCTGGCGGACAGTCTGGATGGAGCCAGGCGGCTCTCCTCCAGTTCTTTCTGGGCGTGTGCCTGATGGTGATGCCCCCAACACAGGCTCGGAGTCTGCGCTTTGTTACGTTGGTAATGAGTGACGAAGTCACCAACGGGTTCTCGGAGCTGAGAGGGCGAAAGCCAGCTGGTGGAGGGAGGGGCAAGAGGGTGCTCCAGGTCGGGGTTGGGGGCGGGGGTGTTTCGGATCTCTAAGAGCTGGTTTAGAAAGCATCTAGCTTGGGGTGGAGGTGGGGCGCTTTGAGGGTCTGGATTGGTGCTTTGAGGGGATGGATGGATTCTGCCCTGGGACGGTGATGTAGTTAAAAGGTTGAGATTCACCCATAAAGAGGACTTTGCTCTCTTTTTGCTTGTTTGTTTGTTGGTCTTTTTGAGACAGGGTCTCCCTGTAGCCCTAGCTGGCCTGGAACTATGTAGCCCAGGCTGGCCTTGAACTCACAGAGATCCTCCTGCCTCTGCCCCACTAGTGCTGGGATTAAAGGCGTGTGCCAACATGCCCAGCAAAGACGACTTTGAAATCTTTGGCTTCCCAGTTGTCCTTAAGTCCCCCTCCTCTACTCGCCCTTTCTTCCTGTGCCTTTGGCTTTGCCTAGCCTCTCAGGTTACATTGCTTGGCCAAATTAGGATCTTCCTGAAAAGGGCTCTGAAGAGGGAAATTTCCTTTCCCAACGTGGGCAGAGGTGGGCTCTGTCCTCCAGCTAGGAGACTATTCTGCTATTTAGGCAAACCATTTTCTTTACTCAGCTCTATCGGCATGGAGATCGTTCACCAGTGAAGACATATCCCAAGGACCCCCATCAGGAAGATGAATGGTCCCAGGGGTTTGGTCAGCTAACCAAGGTGGGTCAGAAGTCAACCCACATTGCCTTGGGATGTGCCACAGAATGAGTGACCTATGGAGAACAGATCTTGGGGCTCCCTAAACTGCTAGTTGCCCACATGGGTACTGATTTACCAGATGTCTTATTTTATTTGTGGTACTAGGACTCAAACCCAGGGCCTCATCTGTGCTAAGCACACTACTGCTTAGCAACATCCTTAATTATTACCAAATATCATAGCCTTAATTCTGTGTCCCAGGACAGTGCCATTAACAACTGACCACTTAACTTCTGGGATCATATTTACTCATTCTTTCGAGACAGAGGAAGAATGCCCAGATACCATAGGGACTGTGAATAAAGAGGTGATGGCAGTCCTTTGGACTTCCTTAACCCTTGGGTTTGCCCACAGGAAGGGATGCAACAGCACTGGGAGCTGGGTCATGCTCTGCGGATACGCTACCATGGCTTTCTAAACACCTCTTACCACCGGCAAGAGGTAAGGCTCGGAGCTTGATTGGCAAGAGAAATGGGATCTTTAGCATAATCCTCTGACCTCAGAGAGCCTGAGGGTGAGGTTTAGGCACTCTCAATTCCCTCTTTTTTAAAAAAAAAAAAAAAATTTTTTTTTTTTTGAGACGGGGTCTCCCTGTAGCCCCAGCTGACCTGGAACTTACTATGTAGACCAGGCTGGCATTGGTCTCACAGAGATTGGCCTGCCTCTGCCTCCCAAGTGCTGGGATTAAAGGCATGCATCACCATGCCTGGCTTCTCTTCTTTTCATTTTTTGGTCACTGGACAGAACACCTACGGGCTGTCTAGAAATAGTTCTGGGGGCTGGAGAGATGGCTTAGTGGTTAAGAGTACTGGCTGCTCTTACAGAGGACCCCAGGTTTGGTTCCCAGCACTCACATGGTGGCTAACAACCATTTGTAACTCTTATTTCTAGGGGCTTTAACACCCTCTTCTGACCTCTGTGGGCATTGCACAACATGGCACACTTAAATATGTGTAGGCAATACACTCATACATATAAAATAAACAAAAAAAATTTCTTTTTGGTCTTTTTGAGACAGGGTCTTCCTGTAGCCCTAAGCTGGCCTGGAACTCACCATATAGACCAGGCTGGCCTTGAACTCACAGAGATCTGCCTACCTCTGCCTCCCAAGTGCTGGGATTAAAGGTGTGCACCACCACGCCTGTCCCAAAAAATAATTTTTTTTTTAAATAGCTCTGGAAACTGAGTTGTCTCTGCTTAGCTGGGAAGAAGCAAGGCTGATTAAGGGTCCAACTCAGATATAAGGAAGAGTCTGGCAAAGTATTTCCTGACTGAAATAACAAACAGGCTTTCTGTCTAAGACATGTATATCTCCTAGGGGCCAAGCACTGAGGTAGTGCTTTGCATATGAACATATACCATAAAGATGTATAAAGATCTCTTGTCTTCAAAGAACTTAAGAGTGTAGTGGGGGCAGTCTAAGAAGATGGACAGAGCCATGATAGAGGGGAGCTGTGAAGGCTGGCAAGTGTGCTAGCTCCTGAGGTTCTGTTTACCCCAGGGATGGAGGTAGCTGTTCCTGTGGTTACTGCACAGCTATCTCAAGCCTCTACATGCTGTTGTTCCCTTGAGGCCCAGCTCTACTCTGAGCTTGCCCTTTCCCATTTCTTCCTTTTTCACAAGCTACTCTCTTTGTTCCTTAATTTTTTTCTCCCTGGTCTCAAGCCATTTATAAAGAGGAAGGGAGTATGGTGAGGAATGATTCTGAAGTCAAGGACTCTTGGTTTTTAAACAGGGTCTCAGCTCAGGCTGGCCTCAGAACTCACAGAAATCCTCTTGCCTCTGGCTCCCAAGTGCTGAGATTAAAGGTGTATGTGCCACCATACCCCACAAGGACTTGGTCTTAACCAGAGACAAGCTGCTTTAAAATCTCCCAGACCAGACAGTTTACCAACTCAGTGCTTTTGATGAGGAAGGGGACTAATCTAGAGCTGTTCCTACAGGCTGAGTTCTTCACACAGAGGTGGCAGCCCTTAACTGAATGTTTAGGGCCTTGAAGGATAGGGAATCCCAGGGAGGGTGTGTGTGCATGGTATTTTATAATGTGCTGAGTAACCATCCAAAACAGGTTCTCTTTTGCACGTGCACGTGTGTGCGCACACACACAAACTTGTGTTGCCAATCCACAGATTTATGTGCGAAGCACAGACTTTGACCGTACTCTCATGAGTGCTGAGGCCAACCTGGCTGGACTCTTCCCTCCCAATGAGATGCAGAGCTTCAACCCTAACATCTCATGGCAGCCCATTCCTGTCCATACTGTGCCCATCACCGAGGACAGGGTAAGATTGGCCAGCCCTTCCCCAGAGGTGGTAAAGGGGACAACTGTGGCCAGGGCCTACTGATCTCTCTCCTCTGCCTCTGTTTGCTCCTTCAATTTGCAGTTGCTGAAGTTCCCGTTGGGCCCATGTCCCCGTTATGAACAGCTGCAGAATGAGACCCGACAGACAGCAGAATATCAGAACAAGACTATTCAGAATGCAGTGAGTAGGGGCAGAGCTGCGGGTCATCAGACTGTTCTCTCCTGGAAAGAGTAATAATCTCCTGATCCATTTTCTCATAGCAATTTCTGGACATGGTGGCCAATGAGACAGGGCTTACAGACCTGACCCTAGAGACCGTCTGGAATGTCTATGACACACTCTTCTGTGAGGTGAGCTGACCAGGGTGTCTGGTGGGATTGCTCTTCTTTCCTCAGCAGGTCCACATCTCAAGGGCAGTTCCATCCTCATGGGGAAGGCCAGCAAGCCACTGTTTGTGTAACCTGGGAACTTCCCTCGTGGGTGAAAAGAACTTCAGAGTGGGAAATGGTTTACTAGTTGTCAGCACTTCATAGTACTCTCCACCCAGAGCTCTGGCGGCATGAGACTTCTTTCTGCTGAGTCTTGCTCTTCATGTCCGAGCTTCCTTTCCTATGTCCTGCCATCTGCCATTTCTGCTTCAGTCCCTCTACCTCACCTCTGCTCTCCTCTTCCTCCCTCACACACACAGGCACCTTCCCTGCCTGGGGAAGAGAATTACCCCTGGAGAAGCTCTGGCCTAGGCCTGGGGAGCTAACCTGCCTGCTGTGATACACAGCAAACACATGGGCTGAGCCTGCCGTCCTGGGCCTCACCCCAAACTGTGCAGCATCTGAGCCAGCTAAAGGACTTCAGCTTCCGCTTCCTCTTCGGGATCCATGAGCAAGCACAGAAGGCCCGGCTTCAGGGGGGTGAGTGACCAAAGCAGCATGTCACACCCCCTCCTCAGGACTCTCCAGTGCTGAAAATCTACTGTGGGGGCTTCTCACACACTTCTCTGCTTGAAATGGTCTCTGCCCTTGCCATCCCCATTAGTCACCCAGTCTCCCAGCTCTGACATTTAGCCTGTGAGTCACTGTATAACCACAACCAGGTCTGCATGCTTTTCTTCCATTCTTTCTCAAGTTTCACCCGTGTCAGAAGATCCCTGTTTTCCCTAAGTGCATACCTCCCTCCAGGAACTACTGAGACCTTTGGGAGAAAGGCTGAGGGTAAAATGTGCCAGTGTCCTCATTTGTACACTCAAGGACTATCTTCTCTCAACCCTTTGACAGTGCAGAGCCTGCATGCGGCAGCTGACCTGGTGTGAACCACCATCTTGTATGCTGTGAAGCAGTCTTAAACTGCTGATCAAACATGGGCAGAGCCTCCTAGCTCATTTATAAGGGGCAGGTTTCTGCATCTGTGTTTAAATAAATATAGTACCTTGCTTTATCTTTTCTTTCTTCTTCTGTAAACTTGAAAGAGCTTAAGAGAGCAGTGGGTGGTACAGAGTTCTAATACAGTCCCCATGAACTGGAAGAGTTCACCAGGTTGGTAGTAGAAGAGAGACACAGATTGTGTGAGTGAAGACAGTGAAGACTGTAGACCCTGACACCCCGGATTTCTCTTCTTCAGGAGTTCTGCTGGCTCAAATATTGAAGAACCTGACCCTAATGGCAACCAGCTCTCAATTCCCTAAGCTTCTGGTTTACTCTGCGGTGAGCTCAATTCCCTACCACACAAGTGTCAACCCAGGAATTGGCTATTTCCCCCCTACTCAGTTCCTGGGGATGTGGGGTCAAGGGAGGAGTGATGCTCATGGCAGGTCCTTGCCCTTGCAGCACGACACTACCCTGGTTGCCTTGCAAATGGCACTTGACGTCTACAATGGTAAACAAGCCCCCTATGCCTCCTGCCACATGTTTGAACTATACCAGGAAGATGATGGGTAAGTGGAGCTCCCAGTGTCCTCTGGAGGGGCACATGGGATGGCTCAGGGAAGCCTAGGGATTCAGTTAGGGGCATGGTGAACAGCCCCTTATCTTGCTTCCTGTCAACCTTCAGGAATTTCTCTGTTGAGATGTACTTCCGGAATAGCAGCGAGAAGGCCCCCTGGCCACTGATCCTGCCTGGCTGCCCTCACCGCTGCCCACTACAGGACTTCCTTCGCCTCACAGAACCTGTCATACCCAAGGACTGGCAGAAGGAGTGCCAGCTGGCAAGTGATACTGCAGACACAGGTAAGCTACCTGTCACCTGCCTGTGTTAATCATGTCCCAGGGCATCCACACATCTTCAGGGATTTGTCCTACTTTGAAGACTCTTCCTGCTTTTCCCTGGACAGCTCCCACTTCTACCCTGAGACCACTGTTTACACTTTTCCCCCATTCTTTACCCCCAGGTGATTATTTTTCTGTATCACTGAGAAAATAGTCACTAGGAGGGAATTCTCATTCTCCTGCCACATCTACTATCATACCTGCTGGTCTGCTAGTTCACAGGGGCAGCTTCTCCACTTTACTCTCTGGGCTCATCTCTTCTTCCCACAAGGACCTCTATACCTGCATTTCCTTCACCACTGTATCACTCCCATCTCAAAGCTTAACAGAGACTTTTGAGACCTATTTCTTCAGTTCCGTTGTATCTCTCCGATCCCTTTGTAAGATCTTTCAAAGAGTTGCTAGTACTCTGGCTTTACTTTCTCAGTACTTAGTCTCTCAGACTGACATTAAAAAGCTTTGTGTCACCTTCTGCTGCAATGAAGCCATTGTCAAGGTGACCAGTTCTTAGTTTCTCTCACTTCTCAGTAGCAATGCATAGTTGTCATTCCTTCCTTAAATTTTTTTTTCAAGGAGACAGGGTCTCCCTGTAGCCCCAGTTGGCCTGGAACTCACTATGTAAATTAGGCTGGCTTCCATCTCATAATCCACCTGCCTCTGTCTCTGGAGTGCTAGGATTAAAGGTGTGTGCCACCACACCCAGCCTAAACATTTTTTTTTTTGAGTGCTGGTGGCATAGCTCAGTGGTAAAATGCATGCCTAGCATGCATGAGGCCCTGGGTTCATTCCCCACCAAATGCTGCAAAAATGGTAACAACAAAAATAATTTTCTTGACTTCCAGTTTTCCATTTTACTGACAGCATTCTTACTGGTTACCCTCCTCACTAAACAATGGATGAACCTCAAGGCTTGTCCCTAACCCTTTTCCCATCTCTGCTGACTCCCAAAAGATCTCATCCAACCTTGTAACTTCCATACTTCATCTCCATGCTGTTAAATCCTAT